GGTGCTGATCAGCCACAAGTTCGAAAAAGGCAATATTAATTACTATTCCACGTGGCACTGTGCCTGTTTGGCACAAAGGCGAGTCTTTTTGAATATTTGCTTCGTTTTTGACACCTGTCCATGCTACCAATCAAATTTGGTGCATGACATGACAAAACCGGATAAACCCAGTCTCTGCCAAAGCAGCCATTGTTCTCCATGGAGCATAGCCACCACTCCATGAAGTCACCATTGTTCTCCTAGGAGCACAATTGTACTCCTAGGAGTCATTATACTGTAGCAAGTAGCACCTCCGACTATAAGTAGTAGGGGGTTTAGTATAGGAATACCTCAGTTGTTTCTATAGCCTCTTGGGCAGCGGCTGAGTTTCACTTGGTTTTATTAGGTTATGAGCCCTGGTGCGCAAAAGCTACACAGGAAATAATTCTTATTTGAAACGGCAACCTCGGAACCATGACCACAGCACACGTTACATCCGCATGTCCAGTTCTCACTGGACCCAACAATTTTCAGATATGGAAACTCTGGATCATCTCAAAGCTACGTTGGAAAAAAGTTCTCACACAATTCCTTGGGACAGAAGCTTATGCATCTGTCACACATTGGCTCAACCATAAAAAAATCAATTCTATCAATATCTCAGAAACAGCTACTCTATACTTCCGATACCACCCAGATACCTTTGGTCTATAGACCTTGGCATTTTTGCTGTCCATAAATGACTTTGACACAACATTGTACTAAGCTAGGCTTGAATTGTTTGGTAGACCTTTCACCAAGTGCTCATTGGGCTTATTACTAATATATGACCAATGTATTTCATCCAACATGACTGAAGTGTGAGTCAAATATAGCGGTGTAAAATCAGACATGAATTCAGAAGAAAACGGAGCGGACATCAAAATACATTAAAAGGTATGACTAAAAGGTCCTTTGAAAACACTGAGGACATTATGGAAATGGAAACCTGGATCCTACAGGTCCAGGAATAATCCTTTCTGAACATTCTCCATAGACTTCTACTCATTTACTACAGTGAGAATATCACAACCATGCCACCGAACTTTGGCATCCCTACTCATGTCCATGTTTGGTAAGACTCTGTATCACCCTTGTCACCCTCCTGGGTAGTGGCTTTACCTTGGCAGAGGAGGTGCATTCCAAGCTGTACCCTATCACAATTGTCATGTCCCTGAAGAGCGGAAGGATGGTTTTGTCCACAATGGTAAACTTGATATTAGACCATACCTTGTCAGGTGATTGTCCACTTCAGCAAATTGGATTGTATTGAGATCTCAGAGCAATGTTTCTATTAAATTTGAAACTTTGTATCATGTCCTTAGGAGGATCTGTGCGTGCCTCATGAAAGCCAGTAAATTAAATTATCCACACCCTGAAAACAAATTATGTACACCGCGATTATGTCTCATCTCGTGCCTCGGGATACAATTCATGTGCGACTTGATCAGCTATAGCTTCCTCATGATCCAAAGGTCCTTCAGGTTGTTTTCGGTGTGCCTCCTCCACCTCCTGCTTATCTTTTTCACCCTCCATCGTTTTCGCAGTCTGACTATCAGGCTCTTTCACAGGCTCTCCCACCACTTCACCCGCCTCTCTCGTCTTCTCTTCACCACTACCAACAACTGCCGAAGGCTCAGCGCTCACCACACTCACTTCCTTCAAGTCCTCCTCCGCAACCAGTGCGGAAGCGGTGTCCTGACTTTTGATCTCCTTCTGATTACCCTGGGCGAATATATCTCGGCCTGGCTCTGCTAAACCGACTTGCACCATCGTGCTGTCTCCAGCAGCAGGAGGGGGAGCGTCAGCGTTCTGTGCGAGTTTGTCTTCCACGATAATGGGTGCACGGCCTCCGGGCTCACCACCAATAGTGGCTACAGGAGTGGATTTATTGGGAGTGGGAACGCCAACGCCAGAGTATTGAGAATACTACAATGAGAAAGGCACGTTATCAGAACGCCCAGCTGAAAAGCTCGGGAGCAAGCATAACTCACATTATCTAACATCTCGTTACTATGAGGGTCGTGGAATGACAACGTCAGCAAGGCGTAGATCACATTTCCAAGGGCAGGGTGAGGGGCTTACCAAGAGAAATCCCAAGTCTTTAGCCATGTGGCGCTGTTACACTTTGATTTTGTCCAGGGGTTACCGTACGTCAACGGGCTGAATTTCGAGAAACTTAATATGGCCACGATAGCTAGGACTGCAGCTATCTGTAGTCGGACTCGGGGTCGCAGAGCGGAAGTCAACAGATCGAATACGGCACAGCTGAGGAGGATTGCGAAATATAGCGCAGGGAAATAATGGTGCAAAAAAAGTTGTCGACCCATCAAGAAAAAGGGGAAGTAGTGCAGACACCACCCAACGAACAGAAACCCACAGAGGGAGTCGTACTTGACGACTTTGGCTACACAAGCGTTTCAGCATGAAATCTATATCGAAGTCAAGAGGAAGAGAAATCACTGTTTTCAAAGTCTCTGTAGCCTCTCTTGGCGCGGAGAATCAAGAATCCTCGTACAACAATATATGCAATTACTGCAGCCGTACTCAACCACCATACAAATGGATTACCGATTAGGTATATTTGACGGTGGTCCTTCACCCAAAAATTCTGGCGTTATATGCGATGGTTAGACCCGTCAAAGTAAACATTGGCTAAAAGGTGACTCACGATACCACGACGAAGACGAGGCCATGTGTGGGGGCGAGAGTCATATTGATGACGATCCGTCAGTCCGGCATTCGTGGTCCACATCACCCGTTGCAACTCGAAGAATTTGGATAAAAATCCAGGTAGTTTATAATTCACCCTCGGTGCATCAGCAGGTACTACAGGCAAGAGTGATGAATCTTCATGACAATAAAGCAAAATACTCGCACTCACATTGTGAATGGATGTTTGTCTCAATATACCACAGAGAGTTCGCTTTCACTGCGTTCTTGTTACATGTAACTTCTTGCTGCTCAAAGCCCCACTCGGGCAGCTTGACTTTGTGCGAGAAAAGGTAACAACCAGTCATGAGATGCCTCAACTTGAAGTGTGTACGCAGTGTCCTGACTCGCTTGCTCGACTCCTTGTCACTTCGATCTCCGCTTTCTATTTCAATCACCCAGTCGTCATTCAGGTCACCCACATATCCCGCCACACCATAACCAGATACCTCATTCTGGAAATCGACATCTGATACAGGTGGACGAACTTCATGAGAGTGTAGACCTTTATCGGTGGAGATATGACGTAGTTTGATGCGCGAGTTGTGCTTGATGTACTCGAGCGGAGAGTTTTCCCAATCGTATTGTGGATAGTCGTCAACGGTAGCATTCATAATGCGCCAGATATTGTTGTCGTCGCGGTGAGGATAAAGCGTGATTTGTTGTTCTAAAAAGGGGGGTTTAGTGAGATGTCAGAAACGAAGTAGGCGAGCTACAACTCACGTCCACTTCCACCGGGATAATTATGAGGGTGTGAGTGCAAATATCCACCCTGAGTGTTCAAATGACGAATAGCAACTTCAGATCCTAACGCGACATCTAGGGAGCACATCAGGCACAACTATCATAGAACAAATAGCGAGCAACCAACCTGCAAAAGTATCCTTCATGCCGCGTCCACCAAGAGTCTGTTGGAACTCGGAGCTCATAAACCCATCTCCCTCCCCAGAGCTCCCGAGTATCAAAAAGTGGATCTCGAACATAGCCATGTAAAACAGAAGTGGGACCACAATGAGACAGAGAGCCCTTGCAAAGAAGTGTTTCATCCATAACCGCGCAGATACTCGTAGATCACCGAGAAGCATCCACAACTGAAATACTGTACAGACACCAACAGTAGCGATGGTGAATAGCCCAACCCACTTACAAGACACCACTGCACCGAGTGATAGACCTGTGAGGACGAGCCATGTCCACCAACTTTCGGTGAATGGTTCCTGCTTATCTTCGTTAGTGAAGCCGACGAAAAAGAAGGTTGTGAGAGCGGTGAAAAACACGAGAGGAGAGTCGAGGAGAATATGGCGGGACTGCGTTATTAGACCATTTTCGAACGTGATGAAGAGGGACGCAAGGAGCGCAGTCGTAGCGCGACAATCGAGTGCACGAAGGGTAAGGTAGGAGAGAGGTACGGTTGCGATGCCCAATGTTGCCGGAACCATACGCATAGCGACATATGGAACATGATTGTAAATTCTATGAAGCCCGCGTCAGCTACAACATGGCGACAACGAACAAAATGCTCACTTTCCAATCTCCTCAAACCCAAAGTCGCCATCGAACCCAAAGATAAAAGCAGCCGCGGTAATCAAGAGCTTGGCTAATGGCGGATGCACGTCCACAAAATAGCGTGTTTTGATATACCTCGCAGCAAACTTCCCAAAGTGTACCTCATCAAAACTGCAAGGAAAACATGAGACCCTTTATGATCTATAGCAAAACGTGATACGCACACTACACTATTGGGTTTTGACAGACGAAAGAGCCGAACACCCGATGCAACAAGGAGTATCAGTGCCAAAAGCTTCCATTCTCCAGATGATATTCTTAGGCCTCCTAGTGTATATTGGCCTCTCCGACCAGGTGCATAACCCTTTGAAGCCGCCTCTCGCCGTTCGTCTGCGCTCAGATTATCTTGTCGTAAAACAGGAGGATATTTGTGAGAAGGCAAGACACTGTCATGTGGAAACCGTGGTGGCGGAGATGCTGGCCTGCGTGCTCTGACGCTGCCAGACATGGCGGCAAAGAATATAAGAAAAAGGTTAAAGAATGTCTAGAAAACGAAGAGATACAATACGGTTAAACACAGAATAATGCGAGAATGTCGAGGGCGGCGTATCGAATAATGGTGTTGGGTGAAGACCTCTAATGGTTGCGCGACGTGTCCAGAGTTCAGCCACTTTCCATCACTACTGCGCTCAGCTCAAAATAGCTAACACAGGAAATAAGACAGGAGGAAACAGGGATCACTACACGGCCAATTTACAGATGCCATGCCAAGATGCGATAACAGCAAAGATATTATATTGTGAGGATACTATCTATTCTTACTTCCATCCTGATGCTTTTTTTACGCTCCTTCACGTCTGCGAGGTGTAGACCGAAGGATGTCGTCCACCCTGAAAGACGCTTTTTCAGCAACCACGAATAATTGAACAAATGAGTGAAACTTACCTGATAATCATCTCTGCAGCTTCACTGGCACTAATCACAACCTGTCTTTTCAATTTATAACTCTCAGTAACGCCCAGTGTCTTCATCGAGCCAATAGAGCCTTCTTCCATGTCTGTAGTACTATTAGCACATGCTCCACGTGAAAGTGATGCACATCAGCAACTCACCTAGTCCGGCATCCGCTTGGCCTTCGTAATGTGCAGCCCTTAGCCTAGACACAAGGTCTGAAGAATCATAACCGGCATTGTCCGCCAGGATGGTCGCTATTTGCCTGAGCGCACGACCAAATGCTTCTGCAGCGATTGCCTTCTTCCCCTTAATCTTACGTGCCTCCTCTTCTACAGCACAGCTCATCAACATCTCCGAACACCCCCCACCAAGCACAATGCGCGTCTCCTTTACAGTTTGGGAAAGGACCGAGAGTGCGTCGTGGAGCGACCGCTCGGCTTCATCTACCATTTGGTTCGTTGATCCTCGCAGGACAACCGTGCACGCCTCGCCAGCAGCAACTCCAGAGAATTTGATGAGCTATGCAATGAGATGAGTACAAGCATTGTAACCTCGATGCAGTTTCAAACCTTGTCCTCGCCGATCATGATTTCTTCGATCAATTCACAATGACCAAGCTTCACGAGATCAGGCCTCTCAAATGTACTGGCAATCTCACCGCCTGTTACTAATGAGAGTCGCTCCACGCCTTCAAAGTCGGCATGTTCAATAACCAAGATTCCCTTCTCTGTAAGCAGAGACTCGGGGTAGTTATAGATAAGCTGTCGGTTGACAAAGCAGTTGATGCCGTGAGATGCAATGGCTTCGACCTTGGCCTTCATTTTTTCCTATTAGTGGGGTTAACAAAACAAGAAACGATGATAATTGACATGGGCAATACCCGCTCCGCTCGCTCAAGTTCAGCAAGCTTGCCAGTCCCATCGACTTTTATATGAGCACCAAAGATTTTGATCTTATCGGTGTCCATGGCTGAATGCAATTTTTTTTAACCTAAATCCTTACTAGGACTGTCCACTTTAAGCCACTTACAAGTATTTGCAATAAGAAGGTTAACATTTTCTAGTCGTTTGGGCGAGTTGGTAGCAATAGTTTTATCCAAGATGAAACCTAATTATCATTAGTCTTTATTGTCATCAGTGGAGAAAATGCAAACACTTACCTTCATCTAGATATGAATCTGTGAGCTTACCACCCACTTTTTTGATAACTTGGATATGTTCAAGATCCGTAGATCCCTGAAAGATACAAGTCAGCGTTACATTGACTGGTATGGGATTGAATGAGACTTGCCTTCAATCGAAGAACGGCATCCACGGCAAGATTAGCAAAATATTCTTTATCTTGAGAGAGTACTTTCGACGATAACGTTGTCCGGGCGATATTGAACAAATCCTGACGGAACTGCGTCACATCCGATCTAAACGTAGGTCAGAACAAGTCAGAACAAAGATACAGTCTCCAGAAAAAATGGCAAACACTCACGCGTGATCAATAGCAGCTTTCTCAAGTGCGCCCAATGCAGCCCGACTCGCGATCCTGTATCCCTCCACGATCGTCTGTGGATGTATCTTCTGCGCGATCAGCTTCTCCGCCTCTCTCAGCAGCTCAGACGCCAACACGCAGACACTCGTCGTGCCATCGCCTACTTCATCGTCTTGCACTTTGGAGATATTGACAAGGATCTTGGCAGCAGCGTTATCTAACTGGATCGCTTTGAGGATCGTAGCGCCGTCGTTGGTCACGTTGATGTCCCCCGTAGAGCCTGATTGAAGGATCTTGTTCATCCCTTTGGGGCCCAGCGTTGATTTGACGAGGTCGCCCAATGCAACAGCTCCGACGAAGGAGGAGAGACGCGCATTTTCTGCTTTCTCCTCGGTTGCCTAGTCATGAGGGTAATCCAGATCATTATATATATATATTTCATTCAGAATGAAAATACACACCTCTTCACCAAAAATTTGCATAGACATGGTGGCTGGTCGTAAGGTCAATCCGGGTTCACTGGAGTCTGCCAGAAACTCGACGCGTGCAAAAGGATTATACGATCACGTAAGTTAGGGTTAAGGTCATATCTAGTGGCACAAGCTTACCCCTCAAATATCTCAACTTCTACGCACTGCCGTGACCCAAGAATCATTACTTATCATTGAGATATATAGATACAATAGTATATGTAAGAAAGTCTATTGGCCGTTCAGATCAGTAGTATTCCACACCGCCTTTGGTAACTCGTCCACTCCAACCAAAGGCATCTGATTCGCCTGCGGGTTCATATACACGTCGTAATTCTGTTTAGACATGAGCTTTTGCCGCGTGGTCACAACAGTAGCAGTCGGCGTAGATGTTGGCTTCGTCAGCGAGAGACATTGTGCGCTTTGTGCAGGTGTTGACGTAGGTGTCTGGGATATCTCGGCTTGCGTACGGTTAGCACCTGAGGGGAAAGCAAAGCCGTAGTACCCTGGGCAGTTTGCTGTGGGGAAACGATATGCTCTGTAGTGAAACGTAAATACAGATATCACTACCACATTATCAAGACACTCACAAGTAGACACTTCTCAGGAATGGAAGGCCGAGGTCAACATCTGGGATGTTTACTGGTTGCGTCCTGTTGGTGATTCCGACGTTGCAGAATCCAACACGAGACTCGCCAGTTGGACGAAGTAAATTGTTTGGCGAGTCCATCCTATAGTCGACGCCATTGATAGTAGCAGTGAGGGCAACGTAAGGCGTTGTCTCATTGCATTGATACGAAATTACTCCGACGTCTGGATTATAACTGATCGTCTCCAGAGGGCCCGTGAACCCGTCCTCCACCATATATTGCCACGTATTTGGAACAGCTACAGCAAAAAATACTGCAGCAGCTCGTCAGGTTATGTTAATAGTGAAGACAGAGAGCCAACTCACGGGAATTGACAGAGGCTGATAAATTGTTTCCCCATGGTAAAAACGATCCATTGTATCCCTTAATACCATCCAACTTAAATACGTTGGGGAAGTCCCAGCTGTTGACTGGCGTCTCCATCTCTACCCAATTGATTTCGCCTTCATAGTCAGCCGGATCGAGAGCACCTATCGTCATCTTGGGATTCTTCGGGTCGAAACGCATACCGACAACAGGGTTCAGTAATTGGTTGCTTTGTAACAATTGCGATAAGATGTGCTGAGATTGTTCAGTCGTATTTACTGGGCTCATCATCACACCGAAATGACCGTTGAAGAGGCTCAAACCGAACGACGGGGACATGCTTTCCATCAAAGCTTCACGTCTATGTCAATAAAAGTAAGAGCAGCGCTGACCTCTTTCCTCACCGAATTTTTCGTTAGGGAGATTGAGAAGGCCACCAAAGCTGACTGTGTCGTTCACCTCGATACCACTCATAGTAGCGTCCGAGTTGGGCCAGGGAGTATTGGATGGCTGCATAGCAAAGGTAATCGGTAAAGAGTTGACTATCTACGCAGACATGCTTACCTGGAAAGTAGTAGAGAGTGATGCGTCGAAGAAAGAATTTCCAGCGCACAAGACGCAATCATAGGAGAACGCGGCGAAAAGGTCGCCAGACAGGTTGATCGTGAGGTTCACTTCCTGTGGTGGTGTACCAAGTAGCGTAGGCAGTGTACCATAATTCCAACCATCGTCTGAAAGGGCATTTGGTACTGATATTGGAAGACTGGTCCATGCTACTCAAATGTCAGACATGTAGGTATGGGAGAAGCTTCAAAGCTTACAGCGTTGCTGAGCCAGTACCGCAAAGGAGCTGAAAAGAAGGTAGGAAACGAATGTAACAATATGACGCATCTTCTAGATGGGCGAGCGAGGAAGGGCTACGTGTCGAACTTGGGAGGCAGACCTGTGAGTCACTCGATGAGACTGTCGAGAAAGAGGATTTGCGCAGACTGATACACGCCGTGATCCTCACGGTTTGACAGAGCCTCGAGGTAGGCATTACCCTGCACGTCATAATATATAAACTACCCAAAAAAACGGATGCTTGGCATCTCGGTCGATTTTGACGATGGAAACGGTCGAACAGAAATCATGCCAGTTCCGTGACGTTGAGTAGTGCCGCCTACTTGAGTTGACACATAATTTTACAACTAGAGTCCAAGAATGTGAGAGTTTTGCTCAACCTCAAACAAAGAGTGACAAAAGGTTGCCGGCACATCACAAACCTCGACTGCATTGATGCGTGAATGAGGACTTCTCTGGCGATAGACGCCGTCGGTTTCGCTCTTTTAAACGTGCTGTTCCTGACCTTTCATTGAATCGGATAAATCCCAAGCAAGGGTCGAGAAACAAAGAAGGCTAAATGACAAGTGGTCAATGTTCTAACAAGCGTCTGATAGTCATGTGACCATAATATAAATCTCATTGTTATTTCCTCCAGGGAGGTGCCAGTGTCTCAAACATTAGTACAGCGTGCCAAGGTTTCAATGGGTTCGTATCAGATCATCTCTACTTCCAGAGTAACTACTGAAGTTTTTCTGACAGGACCAAGCAATGTCTACTCTTTGTTTTGGGGTCTCCACCCATCCTACTAAACCATATTTGGCACTTAATCTATGGGCGCGCAAAGAGATCTCTTGGAATGTGCTACCCTGAGTCCGCGGTTCGATGACTCTGAGAAACTTGAAATCACTCCGTCGACCTCTGTTTTCAGCACGGCATCGTGACAAGAAAGGCACCTTTCGACCTGTTATTCTGCCTTCTACCTCTGTCGCTCTTTTGTCATGCCTGCTTCCGAATCTTCTTCGTTTTATACATCGGTCGATAAATTCGAGCTGCAACCACTACACTATTCTACTACTCAGACGTCTCCCAAGTCAGCTGAAACCCCCTCTCATACGGTTCCTGAACTGCCCTACTCCGGTAGTACAACTAGCGTAGGTTTCGACGCTCCAGGCCACAGACCAAGCAATAGCCTCTCACTTACTCCTTTGCGATCACGCATGTTTGAACAAGCTCACGATAAAAGCAAAGGAGACTCCTTTTTAAGTTCTACTCTCGAACTTCTTCAAGCGCTTATTTTGCCTGTGGTCGCAATCGCCTATTTGTCCTTTTGTTACTCCGTTCATGATCATGTGGTCCCTCTCAATACCTATGGTTTGTACGAGATCACACCACAGCACTTGGGTAAGTCTTGTGTCACCTACTCTACCTCGTTCGTAACGACAATTCGACCCAAGCTGCAATCAAGGGTGGCATCACCTCTATTAGCATCCTGATAATCACCATAGCCTTGTATCCCCTGACGACTCTACTGCAAGATCTAAAGGCAAGATAGATGTCGATCTTTCATTCTATGTATTCTACTGATCGCGATCATTAGAGCGAGGAATTTTTCCGTACACTTTCGCGCAGTGATCGTGGCGTTCCATTGCCTGTCCTCAATAACATCTCCAGCCCATCCTTTGGACAGATTCAATCCATAAAAGCTGTCTTTGGCCGCCACTGCTCTCCCTATTTCACGGCTGCTATAGTGTCTGGTTTTCTTGCTATGGCTACTTCCACCCTAGCTCCAGCAGCCTGTGAGTCCACTGCTAGTCAGTAGTTGATACATGCATTTCTCATTGGATACAAAGTGAACATTCAAAGTGTTCTGTCTGATGGTGGTATCATGGCATTCGCTGTTGGTGCCGTCCCTGCGCAATCCATATGGAAGTTAGTAAGAGACTCACCCCGTATAATCAATTCAATGCTGACTTCTGCTTTCAGTATGTCTAGCAGCATTGGACCGGTATATGGCTCTAGTGCATCTTCGCACTCCGACCAAGCTGCAGCTGTGTTGTGGGCAGAGATGGAACTAGGAGTGCAATATTCCTTCAGTGCAGCGAATGCGACAGACTCTGGTACAGCCTACGTCGTCCCAACGCCGCTACAGTTGTCGACATCTACAAGTGCACGCTGGCTTTCCGATATTATCATTCTACAGCCGTCGTGTAACTGGGCCTCAACGAATATATCTCAAGGCGTCAACCTTGGTACAAACTTCAGTGATGCATCGTCCAGTCTCAACTCCTCGTCGCTCGACGTGAACTTGGTTGACTTTGGCTTGGATATCACCGTTCAGCTTAACGATTTTTGTAAGTTGCCCTTCGTCTGTGCATACATGAACAGTTTATCGAAGCTTCGTTTTCTCAGCAATGAGTGAAACAACCTACATCGGCATCATGGATCCCACGATGTACGTCTCCAACCACACCACCCATGCACCCCCCACCGACGGTTCATCAACCTGGTTCTTTGCTCAATGCACGTCAGGCTGCCCTATGTACCTGAGCACGGAAAGCTACGTGTGGCTTAATTACACCAACATCCCATCCTCCTCCCTCGTTGCCACAGATCAGACCTGGGAGATGGCGTTCCTCACATGCAAGCCGAACGCCGCCATCGAGACGCGAGAGGTGCGCAACGATGGGCGCGGCATATTGACTGTCCAGCCATTGAGCGACGGACAACGGCTGACTCGCCAAGGAAACCTTCATCCCGTCCAGACATCTGCGCTTTTCTCCGTTGCAATGATGTCCATCACCTCGAATTCAGGACCGAGTGCATCCATTTCATCCGCCTCGCTGGGATCAAATACGCAGCTCGATTTCCTCTTTGGCGAACGAGAAATAGCTAACATTCCTACGGGTGGTGCCGGTTCGATCACCAACATCACAGCTTTACCCTTGGCTAACCTCACAGAGACATACACCCGCATGCTGCAATCAGTCGCGAAATGTACGTTTATTCATGTGTCTTTTGATTTTGAAAGGGGGCTGAGATGAGTTTTGCAGCGTACACGTCGGGAACTCTAGGAACTGCATATGTGCCCGGCCGCTTGTCGAACCCCATAGTCGTGTTCACCTCGTCCCTGCCCCATGTCATCGTGTCTACCTTGTTGTTCACAGTTCTCTCCGCCGTCATCATCTGGTCACATTTCCGCTCAGGCAAAGGACAAGAATTTACCCTTGTTAACATCGCCGCTGCCGTGCACGGTTCAGAGCTCCCTTCACAGTTCAACCAGATGAAAAATGATTTACCCGAAGAGCCAACATCTCACAGTGATGACAAGAGCGTCCAAGAGGAGGTAGTCAAGATGATGGGGAACAGACGTATATTCATTCAAAAGCAAGTCGATGGCAATGCAGTGCTCCGTGTACATTAGCTAGACTTACTCCTCTAGACTCTTTGTTTGTGGACCATGTTGGATATAATTTGCACGGGCGAAAGATGCTAAACCAAATAAATAAGATAAACTCTACAGATACAAAGAAATAAAAGAAATATGATTTCAAGCAAGGATTCAAGAAAGATTAATAACGTGCTGCATATATTCATCCAAAGTCTGCAAGGGATTCGTCGTGAGACAAAAGTGCAGCGCAGCTAACAGGAAGAATCCTACCTTATCCATTTCCTCCAACTGCTTGCACGTATCAGCATAGACGTCACGTATTTCAGGATGGAGATTGTGCATGTCGATGGGCCGACCAAATAGGTATTCGTCTATAGGATGAATCGGGGGCTCAGGGATTATCGGAGGCATTCCCCCAAGTTCGAGTATAGTCAACATATGCGAGACACCAAAGTCATCATCGGTAAGATACGGAAGGTTGTTTTTGGGGCTGGTGCTATTAGTAGTGGGAATGCTGTCCTCCACTAGTGGGCTTCCAGTTGGACTAGTTAGCTGAGCCATAGGGGTAGCATACGTCGATAAATCCGACATGACAGATGCAATAGAAGGGTGGCGATTGCTAAGGGACGACGAAGCCCCAGATTTAGAAGTGGGAGTAGTAGTCCGAGGCCTGATGTTATTCGAAGCTGCTCCGTTCGGAGTTGGAGTCCTCGATCCCGATATCGACATCGACATCGACAAAGGAGAAGTCACACGCTGCATTCCAGTAAGGCTACCAGCAGTTGGCGTCGGCGTTCTAGCATCAGGAAGCGCCCCTTCATCTCCAGAATATTCGGACGACGAAGCTGACCCGCCCGAATCAAGGCTGTCAGACTGACTGTGAGACTGAATCGGGACCAACTGGGCGTTCATCCTGCCATCTTTGATTTTGCTCAGGACGCGATCGATCTTTTCGTTCAGTCCATCTTTATTACGGGAAAGTGCACCTTCAAGAAGGTCATTTTTGTGCGCAGGATTGTTGTTGTCCCGCCATTCTCGTTCGATGATCTCGCTGATATCGTACGATTCACCATCCTGGACATAGGAGTATCGCATTCTATCCCCAGAATCGAAACGAGAGCTGCGAATGATCGCGTTTCCATGAAGTACGATGTCAACCCCCCGAACCGAGTTGGCTTGAGCTGATAAAATGGCGCGCTGGTTAGCTCGCGAGGCGGCACGCTGAGCGGCGATGATTTCTCGTCCGGAAAGCTGCCTTGGCTTGGTGGAATCCTCTTGACCGGGATTGTCGGAGCTGGCACTCGAGCCTGATATCGATTCACGCAAATGCTGCAGAGCGATTTCATCCAGAGGAGCCGACATACGATGACGCGAGGAAGAGGTACGATAAGAAATGGAACGGCGAAGGATGAACACAGGGTCATCAGGGTGGATATCCTCCATACTGCCCAAAAGCTGGGCAGAGTCAATCGAGCGCCGCTTGGTGTCTTGATTTCGACGATCCACGGCCCGATATATCGGAGGACGGGGGAAGCCCTCGATAACTTTGCTTGAAGGCGATAGCTCACGCTCTACAGATAAAAAAAGAAAACTATCAGCTAAATGGTCAAGGCTGAGAACAACTCGATGGTATCAACCTTGGCCTCCGGCATCAACCGCCAGCCCATAGCGCACTCTACTCGTACTTCGTCGTTTTGTAAGCTTATCCTCAACCTCGTCACCGCCATCAACAACTCCCTCCAGTATACCGAATCGCTCCAGCCCGAGCTCAATAACTTCGGCAACGGTCACATTCTTGGGGAAGACGAATACTTTTCGGCGCAAACTTTGCGAAACACCAGAAGAGATGGAAGAGTGGGATTGTGTTCGATCACGAAGGGTATTTTTGAACACGATTGCCTCTGTTAGGGGGTCGAAGACCATGTTATCAGGAAGGTCATCAGGGTATATAACGAGTTGCAATGCGAATTTATAGGAGGGAGAGCTGAAGCGCTCGGGGGTAACATTACTTCCACTACTAATGGAGATATTGACGGAAGACGTCTTGGATCCGTCCATCGTATCGATAGATATATCGGCGAGCAAAGTTTCGTCACCTTCATCATTAGCAAAGCTGTCGTCCTTGCCGTCTTCACGCTTTCTATTCAAATAAAACTTGACGGCAGAGTCATCAGTGAAGTCGTTCATAGGAAGCTTTTTGATAGCAGGGTGCATTGACAAGTTGCTAGCCACGGAGCTGATACTGCCCACACTACTCCTCTTGACCTTGGGCAACTCCATTGCAGCCTCGACTAGCGTCTCGAAGACACCAAGAGGCTGTTCAGCGGGGAGAAGAACGGCAGAAGACCCTTCGACTTGCTTGACCGTCAAGTAGTAGTCGTTTTCATCCTCGCCAGCTGGAAGTCGGAACCGTTGGATTGCCTGCCTTACCAGATCGGAAGACGTGGTAGACGTATTGAGAAGCACGGTCTTAAATGTCGCCTCCGTCTGCAAGTTCTTGCCAGCAAACACACGAATGACACTTAATTCAGGGACTCCAACGCCCTGGCCGTCAACTGCCGTCGGGGATAACACAAGGGATCCAGGACGAGGTCTAGTAGAAGGCAAGCCCAGACCCAAACCAGACGCCGAGCTCACAGAAGTACCATATGACGCAGAACCAGGCAAAACTGCCATAGCAGATTGCAGCCCATACGACGGCTGCACCTCTGGAGGTGAAGCAGGCGAGCGGTTGAGATACTGCTGGTACAACGCTTGCTGCTGCTGGTCGCGCTGGCGCAACTGCGAAGCATGCTGCGAGACCTGCGGGTCACGTTGTGGAGGTGTTTGCGGGGTCTGCAGAGGTTGCGAGGCCTGTTGCTGCTGTGGCCGTATGGTATTCTTGGATTCGGTGGAAGTGCGTAGTATAGCTTGCTGCTGCTGCTGCTGCAAAGCAGACGCGGTGACAGGAGAGAGTACAGTTTCTGGCGGAGCAATTGAATGTTGATTGCTTGACCGGCCAGACTCCTCGGAACCGCGGCCTGCATCAGTACTGTTGCTGCCCTCCGTCGATCGGTCAGACATCTTGTCCTTGCTCTTGTCCTTCCTCCTCCCAAACAACCCGCCAAATACACCCTTCTTCTTCTTTTCCTTCTCCTTGTCTCTGCTCTCCTCGTCCGTATCGCGCTCCTTGCGCAATTTTCCACCACCCGACATGGAACTGGCCTTTGTATTCGTAGTCGAAACCAGGGGTGCGGGTGCTGCCTTGTCTTTGCCCTTCACCTTCTTCCTAGCTGCATCCTCCAAAGCCTCGATTTCTTCCCTAGTACGTTTGCGGTCCTCTTCCTGCTTCTGCATGATAGCACTTGGCAAAAGGGGTCCGTTGGTGCTTTGAGTCTGAGCTTGGGGCTCTACAGAGGGCGTGTCCCGGGCTATCGAGGGCGTGACGGTCAACTTCTTGGTTTCAGTAACCTCCGCAGGATCGATACCCTTCGCCTTGCTGGGTGATGTTGGAGAAGTCTGCCTCGCACCATCCGTGACAGGTGCCAGACGCTCGCGCGAAGTCTGCTGACGCAAGGGCTGCTGCACCTGGCCCTGCTGTTGTTGCTGTTGCTGTTGCTGCTGCTGCGCGATAATCTGTTGCTGCTCAAGTTGTTGCTGACGTTGCTGAGCAAGGATCATCTCCTGCTGCTGTTGCTGCATCTGTGCCTGCGTCACATTTTGCTGCTTTTCAGTCCCAGCACCCGATTTCACCGCGTCCGGAGTCATGAGTGCCTGCATGTCCTTCCGTATCTGAGCATTGCGCGCCTGCATATCCTCAGCCACGCCATCGTCCCAGCTCATCCCATCATCCGGCTCCATAGACATGCCATCCGCCTCATTTTGCACCTGCTGCTGCTGCTGGAGCTGTTGCTGCTCGTCCGCCAGCTCGGGGTCCTCATCCTCATACGCCCCGTCGTCCCACTCCACGTCCTCCTCTTCCTCGTCCTCTTCGTTCCACACTGCTGGGGGGTATCGGTGGACGGAGAGCGCGGGGGTGAAGGCGACGCCTTTGCTCTGCGAGGACCGGGTGCGCATGTCGATTCCGTTGGACTGGTTTCCTGGGGTTGGGGAGGGCGTGTTGGGGTTGTTAGAGCCGGCGCGAGAAGACAGGTTATTGCGCACGCGTTCGACGTCTTCCTGTAGTTCTTGAGGCGTAGCATGAGCGAGCTAGAAAAAGAAAAAGAAAAAAAAAATTGTATTAGTTTACTATACCCAAAACTCACTTGCGCAAACACGACTCTGGTTGAGAAAAAGGGCGACTCACATCGACATTGCGGTGCTTGTTAAGCCTCGCGAGACGCTCGAACGGTGTCTCGATGTTTTCCGCTGGGATATAGCCGACCTCCTGGGTCTTGAGCACGCGCACGAGCCACCAGTAGCTATTACTGTCGTCCATCAAGAACAAGCTGTCGCCCTTGACGACATTTGCCTGTCCCTCGACGGTCGCTGCAAAGCTGTGGAGGGAATACACAAGGTCAAAGTCGATGGATTCGTTGGGTATGGAGAGGGAGGACGAGCCGTCGTCGTCGTCTGCGTAGCCGACCTCGCGCTCGTCGCCGTCCGAGTCGTCCTCGAGCACGGAATGCTCCTCGTCAGAGGCCCCGCCATAGCTGCTGGCTGCATCGGCGTGAGCGTGCAATTGGGCGTGGTCGTCAGTGGTGGTCACGATTTGGTCCCGCAAATCAAAGGTGTCCTGGCGGTGTGGTCTTCTGACCATCTCTTCGACGTGCAAAGACATGGGTGATATTAGCGGACTGGGCCTTTTAGCGGGACTTTATAAAAAAAATGGATGAAGATGGGGGGGTGTGTTGTGAAATTAGGGCTGATGTAGGTAATGGGGAAGAAGGAGAGAGGGGGATATGATAAGGAAAGACAAGATAATGGAAAGGAATAAGTCTACAAAATATGTGCAGAGACCGATGCAGGTTTGGCCAATGTTCGTTGTAGGTGGCAATTTGATGCAAAGCTTGCAGGTGGCAACGTTGCGACAAGCGCTCATAAAAATTACCGAAATCTCACTCTCACATTCACACCCAACATATCATTATCGTAAATAGTCATCACAAAGATCATCATAGCTGCCTAGCACTCAACACATCGAATAAGGCGAGTATTTCCAGTATCTAGCACAGCTCAGTGATGGTCAGTAAGGTGATATCCCGTGTACGCACCCGTAGTGTCTGACAGCGAGCACGTATGGTATCACAATGGATCTAAGCACCCAGGGCATCTGAGGCCACGAGTCCTTGAACTCCGGTGCAGTATGACTGCCGTTTCTTGAGTGTCTTGTACGCACAATGTCAGCCAACCACATACCTCATCATGAACGGGACGAGTATGAACGGATCGCCATTCGCCTTTGCATAGCTGTCCAGTGTCTCGTTGAGCTCCTCCATTTCTTCAAATGGCATGACCTTCAAGTTGGCAGGTTGGACATGCTCGAGTTCTTCGTCCATATGTCGGAACTTGCGATACAGTTATGACCATATGCAAAGGAGCGAGACAGCGACACTCACGAGGGGCTCACGGAAAGCCTGCATCATACCCTTCAGCTTTTCGGCGTCAAACATGGAGGTATCAGTCTGTGCAGACTGGATGTACGGGATTATCTCGTCGAGGCCAGCATGTACGACCTTGTGCTGCTCCAACTCAGTCGAGAAATCCACCCTGCCCTCGAGTCTAGGAAACACAATGGTCTCTGCGCGAGTTAGGTTGGACATGGGGATGAATAGAGAGCGAAAGGAAATACCTTCAGTATCGTGGTGCTCTGCGATAGCGAAGGCCCATGCAGCGCAATAGCCCATAAAGTTGGCCAAGTCATTCGTGGGCGGGTTGTCCAGTCTGGAGAAAATGCTGTCGTACCCGGCCTTGAATGTGTCGTGGGCTGCAATGCAGAACGGTCAGCACCCATTGTTCGTATGGTAAGGCAGCTCCAGCACACCGCGGGCCATGTTGTAGTGCATTATCTCGTAGGGGTCTGTTGGGAACTCCATGCTCTCCGTCTTCGCGATAACGTCTGGAACTGCTGGTGTATATGAGTGAACTCGAACATTGTCATTTGCAGTGTGTTATGTTAAATAGCTGTGCTCCCTGCGTCGCAAAGGAGATCAATGTGGATATCAGGTAATAACCGCAATATGCAGTGGCACAACCCGCTTCGACGCTTTGACCTCTACCACCATCACAACAACACAAGAAAAAGCGACAATAGCAGCCAAAGCAACAGCAAAAGGCCCCAATCCCAGAAAATGAAACCGAAACCAGACCCTATACCAAGCATGAAGCTATTATCGATAGCCTTCTAGCCTGTTCTCCTCATGGCCTGCACGAGGCCAAAGCGATGTACGTCTTGCCAAAGCACTCCCCGCTTAGCCCCCCTCCATTCCCTCAAAGCCGTAAGCTCAGCTCCCACAAACCCATCCGAACTGCCAAAGAAAGCCCAGAGAAAACACAGACCAAAAACGTGAAGTATCACAAGAATACAAACACATGCATCACCTCATCATCGTAAGCCTCCTCTTTCCCCATCTTTCATACCATAACATCACTCACCTTTATAACCTGTCACAGCACCTCCACTGCCATCTCTCAAAAAGACCAGGCACGAGCGTCCTCCTCGCCCTCCTCCTCGCCACATCCCCCTACACCCTCCCAAACGCACTCAAACTCCTCGCCTCATCCCGCCCATGGCCCAACCTCCTCGCCTGGCTTCCCCACTTCCGAGCCCAGAAAAACAAGTCACAGTATGACACGTACGCCACTCGCGAGGACGAAGATCGTTACTGGCGCTCCGCCGCCCGCTCCCGTCGTCGCCTTGCCGCCTCCGACGCGCACTTGGGTGGCAACACCCCGACGGTGAAGAGGGGAGAGGGAGGGAACGACGCATCGACATTGACGTCGACGCCCGTACCCCTCGTCGCATACTACACCCCCCGCCTCCTCCCGTCCTACCGCGACACCGAGGGCGAAACCGACCTAGAGGCCGAACCCTTCCACATCCCCGCGCGCACGTTCTGCAAATGGCACCGCATGGTGTTCCCCGGTCCCGTGAGTCTCGTTTCTCCTTTGCGTTACTCTGTTTCGTACGTACGATTAGACATGTCAATACTGACACCCACCCTCTACCCCCTCACAGCATCACCCCACTCTGAGCGAAGCCCCAGAGCTAATGAAGAGATTCAGCCATCGCGATCTCCAAGAGATCCAACGCATCTCCCACCTCCAAGCCGATTCTGACGTGTTCCAACGCCGCCTCCCTTGGACGCCTCGTTACCGAACCGTCTGGAACAACTGGCTCGACTCCAAAGGGCCCGACATCGCCATCGTATTCGAATAACCGCCTCGAGCCGACTCGAAGCACCATACTTATCATGATCAGCCATATCTGACACTCGAACTTTGTTCTCGAACGCTTTCCTCTATCGCGCTATCGTTATCGCTATCGTAGACACACCATACCCTTGTCATCATATCTCTTATACATATACGTATTCTGTACCCCACACCTAATCTGTATTCTGTATATGCACCTGTACAATCTCACTCTTCCTCCCGCTCACATCTGTCCCTTGCGCATCAAATTCCTCCTCACCCGCCTCCTCTCCGCCCCAACACCCTCTCCCTTGCCCCACTGCAAGTACGGCACCTTGCCCCTCTCATACCCCGCCACCCCCCCCTCCCCACCCTCGCTTCTAAAATCCAACATGCCCCAAACAGGCACCTCCATCTCCCCCTTCACCACCACCCGACACCGCCCCAGCACGCTCGGGTCGAGGGGCGTGAGGACGTGCAGGTGCGGTGAGGAGGGCGAGACGCCCCGGATGAGCGCTAGGCCGTGGCATGTCGATGTGGTCGGCAAGGGTGGGGGGCTGCCCTGGACGTATGGCATCGTCCGATTCGGGAACGACGTCGTATGAGCGAGACCACCCTCGCCCTCCCCTTCCCAACTCACCAACCCCACCACAGCGCCATTCACCACACGCTCCACCTCCCCATTCACCACATCCTCGCTCCCCGCACCGACCAAGGCGACACGATCGAACGCGACGCTCCAATCGACCTCGTACGGGTATTGCGCGCAGAGCGGGAGAGACGTGTTCCACGACGTCGCCGACACCTCGCGCAGGGGCCGCGGGAGAGGGAACACGGCGTGGAAGTAGGAGAGGATCGACATGTTGCGCTGGTCGATCGCGTTGAACTGGGCAGATGCGGATGCGGACGGAGACGAGGACATGGACTCCAATGCATGGTACCTCGCCTCCGCACCCGCCCCCCGCTGTGACACCGGCGGGACGGCATCCACCGTCTGCCACGCACCATCCTCAATCTCAAACACGTCCGTCGCTTCCACCATTTCCTCAATCTTCACATTCAAATCCGCTCCCAGCCCCTTCGTCCAGCCCATCGTATTCACAACAAGGGGTATCACGTCCGCGATCCGCCTATCCTCCTCGCGTTCGTCGTGCTCTTCTGCGTCAAGCAGGGGATACTGGACGTCGAGGCGGTAGGCGTCGAGGAGGGATCGGATGGCGGAGAGGTAGTGGGAGGGGGAGGAGCGTGGAGAGGTTGAGCCGATGTAGTGCGCGAGGTGGGGGAGAGTGGGATGGGTGAAGGGTGGTCCTGAGTATATGTCCTTATATTAGCAGCTACTCGTGTAAAAAAAAAATCCAAATCTCATTATCTCCACGCACCGAAGACAGGCTGTTCAATGATATTAAGAGCCACCATTCCACCTGGCGTGAACTCTGACTGACCGAGATCGCATTCGAGGAATGCCACCTTTTGAAAGCTGAGGTGGTGTGAGTTTTAGAACGAGCGAATGTGAGTAAGGAAGCACTTTGCTCACGTTGATAGTAGACGGTTGAGCAGCGTCCTAGCAAACGTGCTTTTCCCAGATTTTTTTGGGCCTTTGACGATACACACCACAGGGGTCTCGCTGGCGATATCTAGGCTTTTGGTGGGATCAGGACACACAGAGCCCAACGCCATCTCCCAAGACGCAGGCACCACAAACGGGTGTACGTCTTTGAAAGCGTGCGTGAGCTGGAACATGATAAGTTTTTATCGATTTGTAGGATGAAAAGATGGAACGAAACTTACGATATGGACTCCAGGAAGATCGAGACTCGTCGAAGAGCTAGCGTGCCATCGTGAGGGCTGGAAGACGTGTTCGAACACTCTGCACACGCGACCGAGGTGTTCTACACCCGTGACGAGCCTCTGAAGGACGACGACGGCCGTTCCCTCGCCCGAAACAGCGCGTATGCGCTCGGGAAGGACGATCGTGGTGTCCTGTGCGTCCTCGCTGGCTTGAGCGCACTGGAGGACGGGCACGGGTGAAGAACGAGGAGCGAAGACGCGGTGGGCGACGTGTGAAGGGCGGAGGGTGAGTCCGGATAGGGAGGCAGAGCCGTGGATGACTGAGAGCATGTATGCACCGACGAGGGCGAGCGTCTCTCCCTGCTCTACGACCAGCGCCATCGCATGCCCCTCGCTCGTGTGTGACAGCCGCAGAGCGAGGACCTCGTCGGGCGTGATGGCGAATGCATTCATGCCCGCCAGGGGAGAGAACGTGGAGAGCACGGCTCGTTCTTGTTTTTGGTTGGCGGCGGGGACGAGCAGGGCATCGTCCTCACCGTGCTCGTCGTCGTCGTCGTCTGACGAATCTGCGAGGGGAACGCTCGGCGACCACGCCCGTTTTCTCTGTGGGCCCTCTTCATCGCCGGCGCCGCTCTCCTCCTCATCGTCCTCGTCGTCGTCCACATCGACCATAACGACATCCTTCTGCCCGCTAAACTCGTCTTCAGCTGTGAAATACCGCGCAGGCCTCGTCACGGCAGGCCCCTCGCGATGCTTCACCTTCTTCCTCTTGCTCTTCCTCGCCGCGCTCGCCGCTGCGCCCTGCATGCTCTGCTTTCTCTTCGGCGGCGGGGGGCTGTCATGTTTTGTGGGCTCTGGTGTCGGCGGTGGGGACGAGGGGAGTGGTGTTGTGTTTGCTGAGCCCAGTCGTGCTTTGCGTGCTGCAAACGCGCTGAGCATGGCTGCAGCGGAATAACGCTGCTTTTTTTCAGACTCAGATCTATCGTGATAACATTCTCAGTGCTACACAATCTCAGTACTACCCGCCATCGCCATCGATGTCGACGACGACGACGACGACAGCAGCGAGCTCATCGCACGCCCCATCCTCCACCTCCGTCCTCTTCGCCCGCGGCATCATCGCCCGCCTCCAAACCTGGCCCGCCCTCCGCATCGCCGTCCACCAAAACTGGGGCGGCCCCCACTCCCTCGCAAAGCAGCGCTGGCTCGCCTCCCTCCTCGTCGACGCCTTCGAAGACCCCTCCCCCTCCCCCACCACCCCCGACGCGCTCTACGTCGAGGAGATGCTCCTCCAGGTCATGGACGACGAGTTCGAGGCGAACCTCGAGGACGGGAGCGCGGAGGAGGTGGCGAGGGATGTGGTCAGGCTGTGGGAGGAGGTGGGCAGGGGGGAGGGGGGGCTGGTGGGTGTGTTTGAGGAGAGGGCGGAGAGGATGGAGGGCAAGGTGCCTCAGTATGAGGAGGGCGCGGGGAGTGGGAGTGATTGGGAGGACGACGGTAGCGGTGAGGACGACGAAGGCGACGACGACGACGACGCACCACAGCTCGTGGAAAGACCACCAAAGCAGGAACCAGAAGTCGACGAGGACGGGTTCACGACTGTAAAAAAGGGACGAAGATGAAATATAATCTATCATAGACCTTATTCGCTCCCACTTTGCTCTACATCTCGAAAACGCAAAAGCATGATATGCGCATGTAATTTTGTAGCGACATGAGGATAACCTATATCTAAGCGACGAATGCCTTGCCCTTCTCAATGTTCTTCTTCAACTCTGGCAAACAAGCCTCCATCAACTTTTCTTCCTCAGCAGACAGAGGACCAATCGGGTGAATCTTCTCCACACCGTTGAGCTACAAAACATCATCATCAGAACATGAGCCAACGCCAGAGAGAGAGAGACAGCTTACACCGAGTTCAACATTCGTGGAGAAAAAGTCGATGCCCTGGTCAGCGAACAGCGAACTCTTGACAAACGTAGGCGTAATCACGCCCTTCTCGCCGTTCAAACCACGCAACAACGAGTTGGTGAACTTGGCACCAGCATAGGCCATCGAGAGCGTCGCACTCCCAGCTCCATCCTTCGCCTTGACCACCTCATCACCTCCAAACTGGATGCGATGCACGAGCTGGGCGTACGCCTCACCCGAGATACCCTTGCCATACGGCGACTGGGACAGCAGCGGGACGATCGTCGCACCAGAGTGTCCACCCACCACGGTGACAGGGGTGTCATTCGGGCTTGCACCGCTGACGCCAGCGAGGAAACGGGCGGCACGGACGACGTCGAGGGTGGTGACACCGAAGAGGTGGGCTGGGTCGAAGACGCCGGCTTTTTCGAGGGTGGCTGCGACGATGGGGACGGTGGAGTTGACGGGGTTGGAGATGACGAGGATGTGGGCGGTGGGTGCGATGCGGGCGACGGCGGTAGCGAGGTCACGGACGATGGAGGCGTTGGTCTAGATAGAGGCAAGCTGTAGCGCTGAAACGACAGGTGGTGGGGAGTACGTACGTTGAAAAGGTCATCACGGGTCATCTATAAAGGTGGGGATTAGAGCGGAATGGCAGCAACAACGAAAGTACTTACTCCAGGCTAGAAAAGCACAAATTAAGTTATTGAGAACTGTAAGGATGGTGCCAATGCAAACACACCTTTCTTGGGACACCAGCGGGGATGACAACGACCTTGACGCCGTCGAGAGCCTCATCAAGTTTGTCCGCTGCATAACCGTTCACCTGCACACGTTGCACCGTCAATACACAACCCATGCTAGAGCACAGAACAGCATACCTCACTGGCAGTGTCGACGTGGCTGACGTCTGCTGCGACACCAGGAGCACCACGGATATCATACAAGCTGAGCGAGGACACGAGGGGGTCGCTCTTGAGGAGGAGTGAGAGCGGCTGTCCGATGCCTCCGCCAGCGCCAAGGACTGCGACCTTTGTGTGTCGCGAGGCAGAGGTGGAGAAGAGGCGGGAGGGGGAGGCGAGTGCACGGGCAGCTGAGCGGGCGAACATGGCTGGACGTCGTGGGGAACGATGAGCAAGGTGTAAAGAAAAGAAAGGAATGGGCGGGTGCGGATGAAATTTATTATTGGGCGTGAGAGCCATGTCGCTCGGAGCAGCTCGGGCTTAATCGTAATCCTCAGTGCAATATCACTGCAATATCACTACAATATCACTACAATATCACTGTAATCCTCACTGCAACATCATTGTAACATCTACAACATCACTGTAAACTAATACATCATGGCAACAGATTTCTGGGCAAGCTCGCACTAGTGAGTGGCCTGCATGTCCTTCTCTCAAGACTCACATGGCCCAGCAAACGATGGATCGTGGACAGACCAGCACTCAGGCAAGCCCGCACTGAAGACCTCCAGTACGTCGATGACCCACACCACCTCGACTTTTTCTCCGTATTCTTTGCAAACGGTACGTCCTTTATCACCATTGCATAAACCTCGCTCACCATCGCACGCAGCCATCACGAAGCTGGGCAAGAAACTGCATCTCAAACAGCGCGTCGTGGCGACAGCCATCGTCTTCTTCCGCCGCTTTTATCTCAAGAACCTATACTGCGAAACAGACCCGTTCATCGTCATCGCAGCCTGCTGCTACGTCGCCGCAAAAGCAGAAGAGTCCCCCGTGCACATCAAAAACATCCTCGCAGAAGCCCGCTCCCTCTTCGCTCGTCCGTCTCCACCTCCCTCTTCCCCCCATCACCCCCCTCTGACTTCTCCCCAGACCACTCCTACGGCATCAAGTCCTTCCCGACAGATAACTCGAAGCTCGCAGAGATGGAGTTTTATCTCGTAGATGATCTCGAGTGTGATTTGACCGTCTTTCATCCCTACCGCACTCTCATGGCGTTGTGCAAGAAGGAGACCTCGAGTGATCTTCAGGCCGAGGCTGGAGAACTTGGCATCGGCATTGACGACGGGCCTCGGTATTGGGGGAACGGTGAGGGTCAGCTGGAACTACCAGATGGCGCCCTCCAGCTCGCTTGGTATGATCATTCACACTACTTACACGTTCACACTGACCTAACACTATACAGGTCGATCATCAACGACACCTACCGCTCCGACCTCTGCCTCCTCTACCCACCCCATCTCCTCGCCATCACAGCCCTCTACCTCACCCTCGTCCTCCACGCCCCCACCCGCCAAATCATCCACCTTCAACATCACTCCCACTCCCACTCCCCCTCCCACTCCTCCACGCCCCCTCAGCCCCGCCGCTCGTCCCGCCAAGCCAGCCACGTCTCCGTCGGCAGTACGATTGGCAGCTCGGGTAAGAAGCAGATGCAGGATGTCGTGGGCTTTTTCGCAGGGCTCAACGTGTCGATGCCGCTCGTGGCCACGATCGCGCAGGAGATCATCGCGCTGTATACGCTATGGGAGCGGTATAGGGAAGATCTTGGTTCTGATTCTGGTAAATCGTCTTTTGGGCAGACTTCAAGTCAAGGACCTACTTCCCCCTTCTCCGCTGGCACTCACTCGAGCTCGAAGCGGGGGATGTCGGGTGGTGGGCGGAGTGGGAGCCTCAATAGCTCGGTTCATAGTAACGGCGGATCCCCCGCTTTTGAGGCGAGGGACGACGCTAGCATCGTCACACCTGCGCTGCTCATGCAGGTCCTGACAAAAATGCGAGAGAACAGGCTTTCAGACATTGTGCAAGCTAACACGGCGAGACCTGTTGCCGTGAACAAGATGCTCGAGAGAACTCAGGCGGCAGGGTAGCTTTTTTTTTTTTTTTGTGGTATTAGGACTATGTATTTTGCGAATGTGTTGCTTGTGTTGTAAGCCTAATATACATACTTTTTTTGGTCTATACAGTACAGCACCATCTGTCTTTCCCGATCAGCTCTCTGGTGCGTGTCACTTGGAGTCTGGGACGTGTAAAAGTGAGACCCATCATGGAAAACCCAGCCAGGGGACTCTCGACCTCGTCGGATGCGATGGTAGGAAGAAACGTCATGCGCTGCATCCCAGTGTCACTATGAGAGTTCGTGCAAGTGAAATTATGATCGGCCTACCGTATTGCCCCAAAGCAAAAGCACACATCCAGCCCATCACCTAAGTGGGGAGGTTCTCTAGTACGACCTCCATTTCATTCACGTCGCCATTCCCAGAACGAGAGCTGAAGACGTCCGCTCCCGACGCCAGCGAGTCTATCAACAAAGATAATCTAGACATGCCCAAATTCGGCTCCTTCACAAAAAGAAAGAAAAAGTGATCAATATCAGAAAGTTGCGTTCGACACTATCGGTGTATATGTGCTCACCTTCTTCCGTATCTCCTCCAAGTCGTCTCTAAACCCATCAGCCAGCGATTCCATCCAGAACTTTCTGAATCTTTCTTTGAGAAGGACTTCCTTCTCGCGGTCGTCCCCGAGAGGCTTTGAGGGTAAGAACGAGGGGAGGTCGACGACGGAGGGAGGAGGCGACGGCGACTGCCGTCTCGGCGGTGCTTTCTTCGACGTCTCAGCTGGTGCTACAGCCGCCATCTGGACATCTGGCGTGTCCTCGACATCGGAATCAGAATCAGAATCAGAGGACGAAGAGGCGCTTTCGGATGGTTCAGGCGGCGGTGGGACCTTCTTTGCAGGTGCGATTTTTGGTGTTTCCTCGTCAGATGAAGCGTCCCCAGACGATGAAGACGACGAGGAGGATATGGATGCGCGTCTTTTTCTTTTTCTGTTGCGTTTTCTTGTTGGTTTTGGAGCTGAGGGAGCCATGATGGACGTTTCTGCAAGAAAAAGTCAGGAAACGGATGGTAACTCTAGATTCGGGTTAGGGTTTGTATATCTTATCGCCGACATTATCTTTTTCAAGTTCATCCTTGCATCTTATGTGCTAAATCATAAAAGTCATCCAGCATGAACAAAAAGACTGTCGGCGTATTGGGTGCGCGTAAGTCAATGCCATTTATCTGTGGTTCATGTTATCAATGTGAAGATAACTTTTGCTGTTGTAGATCTCTCTCCAGACCTTGCTGTGATATCGTTTACGACCTTTATGCTTGCTTTCCAGGAGGCGGCCAGCTAGGCCGCATGCTAGCCGCATCAGCATCCCTGCTCAACATCGACCTCATCTTCCTCGACGTCGGCCCCTCCAGCCCCGCAAAACAAGTCGTCGCCCCCCGCACCCCCGCCCTCGCCCACATCGACGGCTCCTTCGCCGATCCTGAAAAGATCAGAGAGCTGGCGGACAAGGTGGAGGTGCTGACGGTGGAGATCGAGCATGTGGATGTGCGCGTGCTGGAGGAGATCGGCGCTGGAGCGGGAGAGAGGGGTGGCGTCGTCGTCCACCCCAGTCCGTCCACGATCAAGATCATCCAAGACAAGTTCGTGCAGAAGGAGCATTTGGCATCCAATGGATGTGCCATCTCAGACTATATGAGGGTTGATTCTAATGCTGGAGCCGTTGGTGGTGCTGTAGAGCGTCTTGGGCTACCGCTGATGCTCAAGAGTCGGACGTTGGCGTATGATGGGAGGGGGAACTTTGTGATCAAGGACCGGTCGCAGATTCAAGAGGCCATAGCAGCCCTCGGAAACAGACCCCTCTACGCAGAGAAATGGGTCCCTTTCGTCAAAGAAATCGCAGTCATGGTCGTCCGCACCGCCTCGGGAGACGTCCAGTCCTATCCCGCCGTCGAAACCGTCCACAAAGAAAACATCTGTCACCTCGTCTTTGCCCCACTTCGCAGCCGTGACCCAACGGTGGCTCTCCGCGCTCAAAAAGTCGCTGAAGCAGCTGTGCGGACGTTGCAAGGTGCTGGTGTTTTCGGAGTCGAGATGTTTTTGATGGAAGATGGTGAGTAAAATCACACTGCGATTTATTTGAGATTTTCTAACTGGTTTTGTTAGGCTCAATGTACATCAATGAGATTGCCCCACGCCCTCATAACTCTGGTCACTACACGATCGAGGCTTGCGAAACTTCGCAATATGAGAACCATCTACGCGCCATCCTGTCCCTCCCTCTTGGCTCAACAGCCCTAAAGGTGCCTTCAGCTGTCATGCTAAACATCATAGGCGCTTCATCAGACATGAGTGAACTCACCAACTTTGCAAACACCGCCTTGACCATCCCCGGTGCCGCCGTTCATCTATATGGAAAATCAGAATGTCGGAAAGGTCGCAAAATGGGCCATGTCACCGTCGTCGGAGACTCGGATGCGCAAATCCACCTGCGGCTGCGGCCCCTACTAGAGGCACTTCCTTCAGGCAGCCCAAGTGAAGAACTGGATCTCTACGCCCCACTACCACCACAACCAGGGGCCGGATTCTCACATCGACGTCCACTAGTGGGCGTCATCATGGGGTCCGATTCAGACCTGCCCGTCATGCTCCCCGCCGCCCGCATTCTCGATCATTTCAATATTCCCTACGAGCTCAGCATCGTCTCTGCACATCGCACGCCAGACAGACTCGTCGAGTACTCCCGGTCGGCGTCGTCAAGAGGGCTGAGGGCTATTATTGCTGGTGCAGGTGGGGCAGCTCATCTTCCGGGCATGGTGGCTGCTATGACGGCGCTGCCTGTCATTGGTGTCCCCGTCAAAGGCAGTTCCCTCGACGGCGTCGATTCATTGCACAGTATTGTCCAAATGCCGGTATGTATTTTTGTTTTTCACATTTTGAGGATAGTTTCTAACGCTGGCCATGGTTGCAGAGAGGTATTCCGGTGGCTACTGTCGCTATCAATAACGGTACAAACGCAGGACTGCTTGCGGTGCGCATACTAGGGGCGGGCATGCCCCATCTTTTCGAGGCGATGGATGCGTATTTGAAGAGTCTGGAAGGCGAGGTGCTTGGCAAGGTAGAAAAGCTAGAGCAGGTCGGATGGGAGAAATACGAAGTGAAGCGGTAGGTATCGCTGTATTTAAAAAAAAAAACACAATGTATTGCTGGTCCCCTTGCATCATGCTAATGGTAACAGCCGTAAACCCTTGGATGCGGTGCTCGAGGCTTCGTTCCACAAGTAAACGTTTACGACATTTTTATCTTCGTGATGTCTTTATGGCATCTTCGTACATTTCCGAGCCTGGGACTGCGGAACGAAATAGCAACCTTTGAATGCTGTAATAATTCCTTGACCGTGGTCATGCTCATACGACAGGTCATCCACGCTCCCAGCCCAGATTATCCGTTGTACATCACCGCCAAACGTTACTGGCTCGCCGAATTCGAAGCTCACGATGCAGACCCAGAGGCGCTAACGCTCATACTCCTCCATTCCACCAGCTTTCACAAGGAAACATGGGAGCCGACCGTCGAACGCGTCTTTCGACACCTTTCGCAGCGTGGTGCAAGGTCCGGTCTGCGACGAGTCAAAGTCAGGTGTGCGTGGGTCATAGAGTCTCCAAACCACGGTGAATCGGCCCAGTTGAACCAAGAGGCACTCCAGCACCCTCCATTTTACCGTTCTTGTGAGCCATATACTCCCCATAGCTGATTCTATCGCATCGTTTGACCGCAAAACACTCTCCCTGAAGTCTGCTGCGAGACATACGCCCAGGCAGTCCACCGCTTCCTGTCTGCAGGTCTCGAGCATGAAGCAAGGGTAGACTTCAGGACGCAGAGGCTCGTCGGTATAGGCCACTCTTTGGGGGGTTGTGCGATGTTCGTTCCCTCTCCATACGCGGATTTTGCATACTGAGCTTGATAGCACCTTTAGATCTTTGCTCCAGCACATCCAACCCATATTCACCTTTTCGTCCATCATCCTCGTCGAACCGATGATGAGTGCAGGTGGCCCAGGGCCAATCCACCCACTTCGGGTCATGCTCATAAAACACGCCTATGAACGCCAAGACGTGTGGTGTTCCAGAGAGGCAGCTTGGCGAAGTCTCCAAGGGAGAAGGCGCACCGAAAACTGGGATCCGCAGGTTTTGAAACTCTATGTCGTATGTTCGTGAACTCGTGGCGCCATGTCTTCTTAACAACATCTGGACCTTTGCAGAAACATGGTCTCCGACCTCATCCAGGTGGCGCTTACGCTGAAGCACCATATCACGGTGTCACTCTGGCATGTACACGGGAGGAAGAAGTGGTGCGTATGGCTATTTCTTGCCCGCCTGGTAATACCTGGCTCAACCCAGCAAGACAATGTATAGAGATGCAGATGGGGCGACGAAGCCAGTAGCGGTTCTAGATGAGTTTTGTACTCGCATTCCAGTGCACGTCATCTTTGGCGCTGTCAACGACTTTGTGTACGCCAGCAGACACGTTCTACCATGGGGCTAAACTGACGAAATATTCTACAGACCGCGGTCTGTTCAAGACGCATTGATAGATCGGAAATCCAAAAGAAAATTCGAATCCATCACACGCATACCTGGTGCCGGTCATTTGGTAACACTCCACTTCTCCTGAATCACTGTACTCTAAACGCTGGTTCTAGGTTCCACAGCAAGTCCCAGAATGTCTCAGCCAAATCATTTATAATATACTTACGGACGCACTAGACTCAAGTCCACTTTCCAAGCTCTGAACGTTGTGCGCAGCTATCCATCAATGCTTTGTTGCCTTATTACTATATCTTGTCGAATAGTTTTTTGTTATGTCATTATCATACTTTCGCCGGTTTTTCATATGCAAAATAGTACTCTATCGTCGTAGATTACAAACCACCTCCCTTCGTGCCCACTCACCCACCGGGCTTATTTCCTCACCTACCATAGACCGCCATATAAGCAATCTACTCGTCAATGCATCCCAAGCTGAAGTTTTCTCATCTAGGGACATGCTTGCTTGCCAGAGCGTCTCGACTGCTTTCCCCCAGATGTCGAGAGGATCGTCGACATGTGGTACATCGTGAAAGCCGCGGGCTGGGTACGGTGGGAGCGGGATGCGGGTTCGACACCTGGATATCGTTTTGTCGACATCCTGATCATATGTTATTGTTGTCTCCAACTTTTCCAAGCAGTAGACTGCCCTGGTGATGAGTGATGGGAGGTGCGGATTTGATTTACCAGGTAAGACGCTCAATCTCAAGATGACCGACGCTGCCGAAGCGAACGCAGATAACGTCGATCCTATAGTACCAATTAAAAACATGAATCCAGGAGCCAACGAAAACCCACTCACCGAACACTGCATCTTGTAAGACAAGTAAAAGACATCGACTCAGAACAAAGCGCCATTCTCCGTTGGTAGCGGTATCCAGTCTTGAGGCATTGACTGTGACAAGGATATTCTCCAAAATCTTGACCCACGCCAAGCTTTCTTTACTTTTGCATACCTGCAGCTGCATTTCTATCCATGTCAGGAGAGAAGACTTGAGGATTAACGATGTGGTGGCTTGCATATTGCATGTAATGTTAGCAAGGACCTAAATGAATCACGTCAAAACGATGTTGATATTAAAATAAAGAAATTGTATACCTCTAAAATGCCATGACGCAAGGCTTGGTCTTTTTCAGAGCTCTGGAAGAGACTAGCTAATAGGTCCCAAGTGTGTCGACGCTTCAGAACCCTCCAGTCTTCGGTACTCATCATACCATCAGATAAAAACCGAATAATCCAACCACGCTCTTTTTTCCAGTCATCTGAGCTGCTGTATAGCATATTATACAACATAGGGACGTCCGTGATGTCCACTTCTGGGCGTTGCAGGAGAAAGCGAGCTGTCATGGGATAGATGAAGTTCGACGGATAGAATATACCCTTCATAGCATGTAGCAGCATCAAGGACGTGTATGAGGGAAGTCGTTTAGGAGGCTCGTTGGGCGTTAACGGAAATGTATCTTTCAGTAAATGAAGGATATGCATGACTTGAGGTTTTTCTTGCATATCTGCGACCTAAAAATCATAACATCGGTTCTATGTTCGGAAGTACGGATGATCACACATACCTCTAGACATCGCCAAAGACCAGCGATATGACAGAGTGAGGCCTCACGAATACCAGCGTCTTTTGAGGACAGAGATCGTATCAATAAGCAAACCACGTTCGTTCTGAACACCTCAACCCAGGCCATCGCTGAGGCAGGCGGATTCTGAGAGAGCATATGACCAAAGAGCGAGATCACAAAAGGTGGGTCGTATATCTGTTCATCGGTTGAGGGTCTGTATGCCATATCCTCGTTGTCTTCCTCTGCAAAGCGTCTACAGGTTGGGTAAGCAAGGCAAGTCCGTAACATTTGTATAGGGTCCATATTTTGAACGGCTTGCAGAGAAGTCGATGCGCTAACATCCATTGAAGGGGACCACCTTGCTAAGATCGATGAAACAGACGTCTTGCGCTGACCTTCGAATAGTTTGAAGATTGATAGCAGCATGCTGTCCGAGTATGAGAGAGTACCCCTATAAATATGCACTAGCGGCTCGACGTGAGATGGCTGGCAAGTGTTTGTTGGATGGAGGTTGAACAAAACATAAAGCAATCGTATAATGGAACTCCTCAAGGTCGTATTCGCAGATTCTGAGGCGGTGAGCTTGAAGAAATGAGGATGGTGAAGGATACTTTGTAGCAATCGATTGACAACTGCAGGCTAACATCAAGTATGAGATACGGAGAGGTCATTTAATAACTTCAAACTGCACCTTCAGTGATGTGCCCTGAACTAGGACTGCAGCCAGTTCTGATACATCAATATCAGATAAGCGATTTTGTATGATGACAGTTAAGACTGGTTCCATTAGATGCGGCTTAGCACTCCCTTGAGAACTCACGAGCGTCTCTACATAATATAATCAGCCTTCATAATATTTGTAAAAAGAAAATCTACACACTCAGCAACCGCAATTGTTGTCGGCCTTCTTCATCAGGAGAGTCATATTCTGAAAGGTAACGGACAGCCCAGTGCAAACTACGATCCAGCACGTCAACAGTAATACCGCCTAGTTCGATATCCTGCGCGAGAAGTTGGTCGACAATAGCCATTAAATCAGGGACCTGATAGGCCAGTGGCGACGAGGAAAGCTTTTGCTGGAATAGGGAAAGAAGATCGGAACGTTTTGATGAGTGGTAAGCAATTAGAGCGGAAGTACAATAGCAACATATACGCCTGAGCTCCCCAGAACGTCCATCTTCGGGCAATAGTCGTACGAAAGCGGTCGCCAATGCCTCGTTGTCCAATTCTCCTGAAATGTCGTTTTCCCTGTCGTCCGAGTCGAGGAACGCTCGAATAACAGTAGCAAGATGACCATCGGATAGCGCAGTACATGCATCAGCAGTGAGCCAGCTACTAAAAACCTTCCTCGCAGAGGGATCCGTGTACAAGAAAGCTGAAATAATTTTAGGCGTGTAGTCAGTCCAGCACTTTTGGTCCAGAAATTGTGACATGGCGTTCGTTAACGAGATGTTGGAATGGCGTTTCCAGCGAGCTCTAGACCATGATGTGATTGAATCGAGACCAGTCCCAGAACTATTATCTGGTGAGAAAGGAAGGCCATCATGGCAAAGAGGTAGATGCCAAACAATGGCTGATGCAATCATGCTTTCCAGATTGTCAGATTCAGGTACCAAAGGTCGTAAAGCGAGCAGCTGAGTAACCTGATCTTTTAGAGCAAGTTCTGAGACTGAAGAAGTCGTCCCAGACTTGAGATTCACAAGGATAGCCTCGAGAATCTCAAGCACGCGGGGATCAGCAGCGTGGCTCACAGTCCTGCCAATGAAGGCCAACAGGTCGAAGAGACCTTCCGGCTCTACGTAACGAATCCATAATTTCATTGAAGTAAGCTATGCAATGAGTTTCGTCAGAACGTCGATGATGCGATAAGAGAAGAATTCCACGGACATGCTTTTGTTCTTCTGACAGAATGTTCGTCCTAAATAAAGCAAGCCAATGGGTACTGATGTCTGCCACTAGCATTCTATCCTCTGGACAGGTCGAATCGAGTGATGCTTCGACGAAGACATGAAGGCCTGTGAGAATAATCATTAGCACATGATTGATGTTGACTTTTGCTGCATCCTACCATGTTCGACGTCAAGGGAAAGTGAGTTGGAAAAGCACAAGCTCCTTATACATTGCAATTGCACGAACACACGTTCCTTCAAAGCCGACATGTCTGCGATCTGTAGCATCGCTGATGCTTTCTTCATAATTGATGCAAGCAGAAGCAATAAATCCGACTGAAGCTGTTCCCTATCCTCTGAAGAGGTTATGCCATGAACAATCATGCAGATTGCCCTTTCAACCTCCAGATGTGACGTAGAACGACTGAAGAGAAGGTTGACCAGAGTGTCACGACACTGTACGGAGGAGAGATCACTAGAATTACTTTGGATGAACAGCCAACCGAATTCGAGTCTGGTGAAAAATTATCAGCCTAGTACCACAACGATATTTTGGCATTGTATGGCTTACTGTTGACATAGCTCATCGTAACGAGACACGACATCGGCACCTTTCCACAAAATATGCTCAGCAGGGTGCATAACTGCGAAAAATTCTGCAAGAGCAGGTTTGTGGAGATGTTCGATAGCATTTGTCAAACGAGCAATCTCGCTTGTTCTAAACCGATGGTTAGTCAACCGCACCAAGTCTATGAGCTTAAAAGCAATTAAAGCTCGGGACATCATGGACGCAGCTAATGGACTACACGTGAGTATCAGTCATCAGATTGATAATGAGACTGTACGAACGAGCTGATCCCTGCTCAATTTCATGCAGGAAGTCCTGTACAATGGTAGCGTCCTCAGATCTATCGAGAAAGGATAATTCTTCCGGCCGATGCAAACAAGTATGGATGACGGAAACTTCGGATCGCATAGCTGAAGTAATGCTCGGGTAGTTGGCGAATAGGTTGCCTGGTTGTACAATTGCATCGACTTTATCTGATACAGCGATGAGAAAAGAAAGATCCTGTTGTTTTCCGGATAGCCTGAATAGCAACTTTCGAATGAAAGTCACGATGGCTAATGAATCCGAGGGCGATAAAAGCTTCCCATTGATTTTTGCTCCTATTTGTTCTAGTACTACCATGAGCAATGAACTCGGGGGTTCGTCACGATAGTCCAGTGCATGAATCGTGTCATTCCTTGGTTCGGTAGGTTCCGGCTCAGCCAATTCTTGCATTTTCTCGAAATATCGATAAGGAGTTTTGAGAAAACGCTGCACACAATCGTCCAGGAATATGATAACGGCGTCAGTTTCGTCGGTCAGTGGAGTGCCATCCGGAGATCTTGAATCCGGTGCGCGTCTGGTTGTTGGAAACGACGCGAGCCAAAGGTCTACTTCATTTTGATCCTGTTGAAACATAATGCTTTCCGAAAGAATTTGCCGTAAAAGAGCTTGCAAGGTGTCTCGTAATGCATCAATTCGAGTCGTGCTAAATGTTTTCAAAAGGACATATAGATAACTATGCGTTGTTGATGCTATAACAAGCCAGAATAGTCAGCAAAGAATCGACAGGGCAACAAGAGCTTGCTTGCCCATTTTCCCAGACCAAGTGAACTGATCACTTGCTTTCAACAACCGCAAAACATGAAGTTGTTTCATGGTGCGCAGAGCTAAAGCACCGGGTAATTTTGAATCTTCTTCTGAAGAGTCAGACATCGTCCAAGAAGTATCAACAAAGTCTTGAAGTAGCTTCCCTACGTCAAATCTGGCTTCAGCGACCAGGGACGGCAAACATCGTTGATACAGCCATAACAATCGCTGTGCACTTTCAGCAAGGAATGTTACCTTTGGTGAATTGCTCAAAAAATCAGATGGAGCAGAATCATCTGCAGACGACACAGCTTGATACTTTTGTTGAGAAAAGGCAATGATGACCTGGAACTCGGGGACTCGTCGTCGCACTTCTTTCTCGAGGTCTCTGCGCCTCTTACTCCACTGTCCATCTTCTTCATCCTCTTCAAGTGCTACCTGGACGGCATGAAACGAATTTATCACTTCTGCATATTTCATTAAGCATTTGGCCAAAGCGAGAGCTGTACAGTGCTGAACGAGATGCGATGGAGATTTGAGGCCTTTGGAGAGATGGGGCTTTGTGTTCACGGAGGGAAGTATATTTTCTAGTATATTGTAAAGCGGGGGTGGTGATGGCTGGTACAGATCACTATCTGGAAGCATGAAAGACGAGGATGGTACCGGCTGAGACAGCACGGTCCCAAAGAATGCAATATTTGCGACCCACTTGGACGAAAGGCGAGGTTCCAAAGTCAACGCCGCTCCAGACCAGTACCTAGTGTATTCAGTCAAATTGGTGGCTTCATAAGACGAACTCCTTCCTACCACTCACCCTGCAACGAGTTCTGGGCAAGCTAGCATAATCTTTGAAGCAAGTTCTTGTTGCCTCGAATCCTCATTTACTTTGAGGTTCTTCAAGACGTTTGAGAGAATCTTGTTATATATCTTCCCGCCTCTACGAGCACTACGTTCGTCATCTGCCTCGAGCACGTCCTCAGACTCCCGGGGATACCATCCTCGATCTTTGAAACAGATACCGATTCCAGGCCGGGTGCATATTGCAAGAAGAAAGTGGTGCACGAGATCCGCTGGGATATGTTCGGGCCCTGAACTCTCAGCACCCGTATGGTCATATAATTTTAAGAGCTAGTAAGATGTCAATAAGAGCTATGTGAAAGGCTATGGAAACATACATGAGATATTGTTATCTCGTTGAAAAGACCAATTTTCAACGTGCGTCTTATTTTTGGGTCAGACCAGAGTCCTGCCCAGCATACCTCTAGGATTTTGCGGGCTACAACATACGAATCTTGCACAAGGCCTTTGAAGATCGCCAGGAATACTTCCCTGTGCTGCTCTAAGAAAGCTGTTTTCACTATCGTTGGTGTATGTTGGTCGACGAAGGAGAGTATTAGCAGAATATACCAAGTGCGAATATCTACCAGGATTGAGTGAGAATAATCGGAGATACGTCAGGTAACTGCACGTTACCAGGCCTAGATAGCATGTCAACTTGATCATCATTCTTTCCTCTACGACGCATGTACAGAAGCTTGGGCAACGACTGATCAAAAACCAATAATAAGTGAATGCAATAAGAATAATACGAGACACCACACAACCTTTGTTTCCCAGGGGAAAACGTCAAGAAGAGATTTGCGCTCCCTCCCTCCCCCAAATGCCGATATTGCGTTTAAAAGCCTCACAGTAACAAGAATAAGCTCGTTATGTGAACCTCCCAGATATGAGGTAAGCCTGCGCATCCAAGGAGGAGAAAGTAGCGTTTTGATTATTGGAAGTCCATGAGAATGGTTGGTGAAATGAACGGAGAGTAGGACGAGGATTGAGGACAGAAGCGAAACGGGTAGAGCCAAGGAAGACATCTGATGCTATTAGGAGATAAATGGTATGGCCATTGATCAATGAATGGTCAACCAACCGGATTCAATTTCTCCCATATCTCAAATACATCCTGAGCACCAGGGGTTACATCCATCCACTGTTTTGCAAGGAGAAGACGTTCGTCCTGAGGCGAGACCGATTCAGCAGGCTTGACAGAGAATTTGTTGCGCAAGGCGATCAGGGCTTGAGATAAGTCAATCGTAAAAATGAGATAATACACAAGGCGAATGAAACATACCTTCTGTCACTTCAGATCCTTCCTGCTTCCTGAGGCTACGCCGAATGTCATCTGCACTAGATATCTGAAATACTTTTTGTGCATTTTGGTCAGGGTTTGGTCGTTTTTGGGCACGCTCACGTCCGACCTGCTGATTTCTTGACATGGTCTGCACTTTATAGGCTCAGTAAAACTGACCCGAAGATACTATCCCCAGAATCAGCAAGTTAAGGACAAGTGAACGGTTTGCAGCATTTGCAGCGATCATACCGTGGTCCATCGCTTCCTAAATGCGAAGTCCACGGACTTCAAATCAAAGGTCACGTGACTAGGCGCGTAAGTATTTTCTTACGAAGAGCTAGCAATAATGCTAGCAAGTCCCCCTTGTTTATTGACGGGTTCGAGCTTTCGAGATAAACCAGTAAAGTCAGGTCAATTCCATACATCGTCCCAAGTCAATGAAAGTAGTTGTGACGGCAAATGCGCAATCAGGTTCGGTAAGAACAACATACATTTAGATTTTCAAGCAGGATTTCTTACATTCTACAGTACATACACTTATTGTACATCTACATACGGGAGAGGAGAACACGAAATGGAGCTCTGAGCTTGGGGCTGATCAAAGGTGCCCAGTAGCAGCCAAGAGTCCGTTGATCTTGTCCTCCTCTTGTGTCCAGATGGGCCTGGGCAGACGGAAGGCGTCACCCACTCTGGCATACGAGATATCTCCCAGTCTGCCAACGGCTTTGAATTTCGTGGCGTCGACGTTACCGCGTTCATTAAGCATGTCTTTGCGGACGTGGATATACTTCACTCGGGCGAGGATGAGTGTGGTGGTGATTGCACCGGTCGTAGGTTGTGTAATATCTATGGCTTGGTGAAGCTTCCAGTAATTTGTTCTGTCAGATAATAAATAGGTAATATGATTACACTTAAACGCATACCTCACATTCCATGCTGAAAGCACTCTCTTTCACGCGCGACGCTTTGACATGAATCTATATAATTATCGGTCAATTGTTGATGAGTAAATTAGGAATGAACGAAAACCTACCGCAGGCTCTTTCGTCAACCCACTGATTGACCACTCGTCGAAGCTTGGTGGAGCATCTATGGAGGTGCTGTTTGCTTGCTCTATAAATGGCTCGCTGATGATGTTGACAGTGAATCCGAGGCCGTTTGTGACATTGGTCCTTGTGTCTTTGAAGTGAACGGGTCCGTTGCTACATGCGAACGATATAATTGGAGGGTTGTGCGTTACCTTTGACAGGTAAATTAATACACGGTCAGATGCTGTTATCAACATCAATTCAACTCACCATGTTGAACCAACTGAGGGAGGTATGCCATCAGAACTTGTACGAATAAATTTGGAAAGGTACAAAAGAGTACCTAAAGGGCGCGAGGTTCTCTATGCCATCCTCTGAAATGGTGGCGATGAACGCGATAGGTCGGGGTACGATACCGCTTATCATGAGCTGATAGAGCTTTCTAGACAGTGTCATACGATATATCTTGAACTCAGCCATGTTTATCGATATAAGATGGCGGAGGACTTACATGTGGTCCTCCTTTTCGGTATCGATGATCTTCCAGCCCTCTTTCTCTCCCTCTAACCATTCCTTTCCTGCTGCTGTCGTGTCTACTTTTTGGCCGAATGACCAGGAGGCATTGGGAGACTCTGTGTACTGGGTATTGACATCGTGACTAAAGGGTGGCAGAGACATTCCTTTAATCTTGTGCTATCGCTAACTGCCAGCGAAAGGCTGGTTATATACTGTGCCCGGGAGAGCTCGAATGCTGAGCAAGCCGGATCTGCGGCTAGGATCATGATAAGGCAAATGTATCCACTGGCTATTATGGCTAATAATGGCAGTGCATCAAAGGCCATAGTGTTAAGGGAATGATTCTGCCCCCAAGTTGTTTTCTGCGGGTTTGGATGGGTTTGGGTTCATTGGGTCTTGTCCTCGCTCGGAGTAAGAACCTTGAAACATTTGCCGAGAGTCTCAATTACGTTCCACAACTATGTCGTGCCAATATCCCAATCGCACATTCTGACAACGAATCACGACGGAATCTTTGCAAGGACTTTCACGGCATTCACATAATCATAACAGGCCAAGGCCACTGGCACCTCAAGGCGTTCAAGTTGTGGAATTGCGCCATTAAGGCGCCATAAATATGCTCTCAGTGATCCTACTAGCAAGCATGTGAACACTGTCTTATCACTCAGAATGCGTATGCATCTCTGTGAAGGAGGTTTGCCTTATCTTGCCTCCTTGCCCACTTCTTAGCGACAAGGTAAGTCTCTTACTTTTTCTCTCTACATACTTCTCACTTTTGTCGGTCTTTTCCCAGAAAGGCCTCCCGCCGCTTTGATCTCTCACTGGTTATCCGTTACGCAGGACTGCATTCCACCCCAAGTCTCCAGTTCTGTAATGCAGCGTGGTTATCTTGTAAGTAATAGTTGATCACTGTAGCAATGACTTTAGTCCCAATGAGATAATGCCCTTATATTTTCAGCTTCGGTGAGCGTCACTGCGTATTCGGTGTCTTATTCCAAAGTGAGGGTGACTCTGAATATACGAGTAAGTGGTCAAACAAGGTATTAGGGGGCGTGTAGGCAGTGAAATAGTTCACGAACCCTCAGCGCTGAGCGCCCCGAATGGCATCTTTCAACAGATTCGTAAAGATATTCTAGAACACCCAAAATAAGTCATCAGCATCACATCAGTGGTGTTTATGTACTTGAAATTGCCCAAAGGAGTGAGCACTTGTCTTCTGATCGCAACGCTAGCGCTTTCTGTTACTTATTAATAGGAATGAAGGTTACAATACAAAGGAAAGGAAAGGCACGGTCAAACGCCAGCTTGTGATATTACAACCCATAGCAATCCCCATCATCAGCTCTTTTGTCCAGTTTATCTGCCTTTATACCCCGGGCTGTTGCATTCTACAATATATCTTGTCGTGAGCTCTTATCAGTTGTTGATAATTTTATAACATGGTCCGTAACCTAAAGAAACATCGATTTTGTGGACAAGGACATAAAAAATACAAGAGGGTTATCTGGCTACTCGAGCTGGTTTCGATAGACTACTTCCGTACCAGTCCAGCGCAAAACTTCCTAGGTGAAATGTCCGATACCTTGCAAACCACATTGAGTAAATACATACTACCTCTGTTACAATCTCAAACACGTAGATATCCATCCTAGTTTCTGTCTCGGGATACTAGTTGGGGACAGAGTAGGATGCAGAGTCGGAATAGTGAGAAATGTCATTTCAGCGAACACAATAGAACCGCTGTTTTGCCCTCATACTTCGCTTTTTGAGAGTACCGAATTTGAAGCGAAGGATGAATCTGTTTGCCCTATGAGCTGAAGATTCATTGTACCATGCCTGGGTGGCAGACTTGAATTAGCTGTCTCGATCTCGGTGCCGTTCTCATTGGACGCGAAACGGATATCGCTGGTTGTATGACCATCAAAGTGATGCGACGAGAATGAAATCCCTCTGGCAATTCGGTAAATGATCAAACTTGGCGCGATAACCTGTGACCAAGTAGTCGATTAGTAGAATCAATGAAATATCCGACAATAATATAACTGACTTGAATGTTTCCAAGCATAGGGAGGAACACGTTTGTGAGTGGGCTGTTCAGAACAAACAATACAAGCGCTATTATAGCAAATACGGCATACAGCGCCGCGCTCTCCACTGTCATGGCTATGATGTTGATGTAGGGTGTACCATGCTCCACGCTGATAGCTTCAGCAAGCATCTTTTTATGACGGAGGAGGCGGATGGCTATGAGACACGATGCAGTGACATTGACAGCGACGGAAAGAGACCAGTATGGGATGACAAATTCTTGCACGGCGTGGGTCGAGTAGACCGATCCAGGATGAGCCGATGACCACAGAAAAGCGATGGAACTCCCGATGCTGCCAAGGTAGAAAAGAATCGGTAGAGTGACAACATAGTGCCACCCTGTCCAGATAACATAGCACCGGTACAGCTAATTTTATGTAGCTCTGCCATCAGCATACACCGCGATAGAACGATGGCTGACTTACAAGGAATGCATCAGTAAACCACGTATTGACCACGAATGCAGCACCGACCACCACCTCTGGCCAGACAGAAAGATCGTAGGTACTCTCAGCATTAGCTGTGTAGATTATTGATATCAGCTGCGGTGCACCATAGTTAATGGACACCCCCATGTATATCGTTGTAATTGATATAAGGATGATCGTATATACTAGATAGAGGTTGTATCGTTTTTTATACAATAGACGCAAGTTGGTGAGACTAATGACGAGAAATCCTCCTGATACTCAGTGTCAGCGCGTCTGTGGGCATAGACTTATGGAAACAAACCATAGAGGAGGGCGCTCATATTTGCCCCTACCCATGGGATATAAAAGGCATACTGCAGGGATTCAGGTGGTCCAGAACTTGACATTCTAGCAACAGATGAAGCGGTATACGACCTCGTCCGTATGTTTGAGCTTGACGGGAAAGAATCGGAACTAAATCGTGGTCAGGTAAGCCTTTTGAATCGTACGAGTTCGAGACACATGACTGCCACCCGTTAACGTAAACTTACCTATCTGTATTGGTGTTGGGCTGTCCATTCTATACCATCATTGTCATGATCAAACAAAATGCCGGTTTGTTAGTGCCTGCTTTACGTCGTCGGTGCGCTTGCTTTTATTGAGGCAATATAATTATAGCCACTTGCTTCAGCCGCCTATCATTCAAGCCAGGCTATCCAAGATGGAGAACGGCGAACGTGGTCTTCGATGTTACTTGCACTGGGTTGAACGAATGTACTATCTTCAAATTGGAATAGGTAAGTCTCACACCCCAACAAGGTAGGAGGACTGCATGAACTGTGATTGAGGGATTACGTCAAGCACTAGTTGGAGGCATACAAGCGCATAGTATAGCAACAACGGAGCAGTGAGAACACCAAACCTATCAATAGACGTTAACTAGTCATAAAAACGGGCTCGATGATCCGCTCACCGAGGAAACACTCACCATTGTCCCGCGATTCGAATCATCAACAATGCCGTGTTGTTAATGGCCAGGAACTATCTCTGAAATCCAGTCCCGCGAGGATGGTATCAAATCATTACCAGGAGTTATTTTGATCGACGACGTGAAACGGTGCTTTCTGCGAATGTCTTTGATACAAAAAGAAAAAGACTGCTGTGAATGCCGCACACTCCCTACACGTCCTCGGTTGATGTGCTAGGAGATGGGATGAGAATGGCTATGGTGGAACAACAGTTTCCGCATTATAATTAGCGAGAGTGATGCTGGATCGCGAAGACACAACACAGAATATAGAATGGAGACCCTCCCGAGTTTTAAAGGACAAATAAATAAATATATATCCTCGAGCCAAGTTTAACGTTTGAGGGAGAAAAAATTAGTAGCAGCAACTTGTTTCGATCAAGTGACCTCAGGGTAGCTTTTTGTTTTTGATTCTTTGGTCTTTGCAGGCCTGGGAACCTATGAGCCCTGCGCGCTTCCACTGCGCCATGCTGCTGTTGTTCTTACCGAAGGCTACAACAAAACACCCAGCTACAGATGGCTCTAATCTGAAAATTGCTCTCATACATACCATCGACCGCCATCCAAAAAATTCAGATCACAATGGTACCTAAGTCGTGCATCACATTCAACGCGAATCAAGATTGTATCATACAACAGATCATCAAGTACAGCTTCACAAAAAAGTTACATACACCCCATCCTTCCTCCCGTTCTCTGTAGATGATCATACAAGAAAAAGATAAATAGAATAACTCATTATCATTGTCGCGTCCCATATCTCAAATGCGCTGCCCCCGAGTCCTCGCTCGAGATTGACGGTATTCGTAACGCGTGAATGCTGTTGCAGACTTTGAGTAGAGGTATATATTGAAGAACGCCACAAACATACCATGCCTAGGCCCATCTCGTTCAAGTCCACACATCCAGAGCAATACTCTGAAGGGGAAGAACAGTACACCCATGGTCAGGGAGATTATTGCCCTCACAGGCGCGAGCGCAAAGAATCTGAAGATGTAGAACGGGCCAGATGGAGTGGTTCTGGATACCCAAAACATGAACCTTATAAATTCAATAGCGAGAAAGAACGGGAAGGCGAATATCGTTAGAGCTGAATACGGATGGACGTAATCCGTTGGTCAGAATATAAAAATGCGGGGTAGAGATTAGATCATACAGATGCCATGCTCGACTTGGGCCATTTTTCTGGTATTCCTCACTCTTCAAGATGGCGATGGTGTTGGTTCAACAAACCAAATAAGTTGACAAGTGTAGGCGATAAGTTTGGACGAGCGCTTATCAGCCCAGTGAGAGAAGAGAAGCTTGATCATAATGACAGGTTTTCTAAGATCCGCATGATCATTAATGTAATGAGTTTCCTAAACGTGATACTATCACTAGTGCCATTTAATTTCTTCGGATACCAGCAAAATAAGAAATGGGGAATGGGACATGGGACATAAGTCGGTGACTCAAAGACATTTTCACCATCATGTTTGTTGAATTTCATCATGTATCCGAGTCTCACGCCTGCCAGTTTATTTCCCAGCTGCAGCTGACTGCGAGGCTGTGCAAACATACCTTGAACTCGACAGGATCGAACATCAGCTTAAACACAGCGTTCTTTAGATGCTCTCTGAGCAGCAACATTGTAATGAAACAAATGTTATCCAAGTGCACGTTCTCTTCGCAAGAATACAACAAAGGGGAGTTACACATCGACAATACAACTCTATAATGTTATGACTTCTGTATCTTTGTTACAACACTCGAAAAAGATAGCCACGAATAAAAATAGATCAATTACAAACGATCTAGGAATACCATTAGACTGCTTGCACTAAACAGATTCATGTACAAGCATGATACTCACCAACGTTACCAAGGTCGACGCATGCTTCCTTCACCCGCTCAGATAAAGTCTTCTCACCCTCGCGCACCCAGACACGGGGGTCATAGAACTGTCCGAGCATTAAGCACATAATAACAGAGTTAGATGATTGGGCATACCTTCTTGTTGGGCTTGTCGGCACCTTCAGGGTTACCAACTTGAGTCTGAAGATAATCCTTCTTTTTTGTGACGAAGTCCTATGTAGAGAAAGTACATGATTTTGAATCAACCAAAGCAAAATAACAAAGAGCTTACCCTGATACCAGCCAAGTACGCAAATTGCGTGTCTAGAAATAGGTGCTGTCAGGGGGGGTGTTCATCGCGAGAGGCATCTTTAATCACCAGTATCAACGTTCATCTTGACTACACCATTCTGGACTGCAGTCTTGATCTCTTCCTTGGTTGAACCCGAGCCACCGTGGAAGACGAGGTACCTGAAAAATATTTTAGAGTCATGCTGATTTGGTGGCATATTCGGTTCATGCTTACAATGGCTGTTCTGGCTTCCCTCCCAATTTGGCACTGGTGTATGCCTGGTGCTTGCCTAACAAAGCGGGCTGTAGTTTAACGTTACCGGGCTTGTACACCCCATGCACGTTGCCGAACGCAGCTGCGATACTGAAGTTCGGTCCAACGGCACTCAGAGCAGTGTAAACATCGTAGATATCTTCGGGCTGAGTGTAAAGACTAGCATTATCTACTCCCGTGTTGTCGACACCATCTTCCTCTCCTCCGGTGATACCGATCTCCATTTCGAGCCAGATACCGAGAGGGGCCATACGCTTGAAGTACTTAACGCAAGTGGCGATGTTCTCTTCTTTGGGCTCTTCGGAGAGGTCAAGCATGTGGGAGGAGAAAAGAGGCTCTTGGTGCTGTTTGTAGTATTCCTCATTGGCAGCAAGCATGCCATCGAACCAAAGAAGAAGTTTGTGCGCACAGTGGTCACTGTGGAGAACGACGGGGCTAAACACGTAAAGGGGGGGTATTGAGCAGCTTGTACAAGCGCCAAGGTGTGGATAAAGCGGCTTACACGCCGTACTGCTTTGCAACGGTCCGAATGTGGTGGGCAGCGGCGATTGCACCGGTGATCGAGGCTTGCTGCTTGTCGTTTGCGAGACCTTTTCCAGCAAAGTATGCGCTTCCTCCTTGAGAGACTTGGAGGATGATGGGGGATTTGATGTCTCTGAAATACTTGTTCAGATGGAGTGGGACCAACGTATGAGCTATTATACCTCGCAGCTTCGAGAACGGCGTTAGCGGTAGACGATGAAGTCACGTTCTTTGAGATGCATTTAGCAAAGGATCATGAATAAATATCAGCACTCACAATGGCCTGTGGATTGAGGTGACGATAAATTTGTCATAAAACATACTTAACTTTAATACTCACCGGGATCGCGAACTAGCAGATCATCAAAACCGTCAGATTTGACTCATGTGAATATACGGAGCGCAATTACCTTGTTTTCTTTGGCATAGTCGAACAATTTGCGAACATTGTCACCAGTCAAGACACCAGCCTACCAAACATTTAAAAAAAATGAGTTCATCTAACAACGGCACTGCGATTGATCCGCCTGCTTACTGGAACGATATCGAGGACACCCATGTCTGATTGTGAGTGGCGATCTGGTAAGTTGCAAAGTGGGTGATGTTAGAACGGGATATCGGGAATAGCAGGGTGTCTTCTTATACCCTGTCCGAGTTGCGATTACTTACAGATTGCACTGTAAAGAAGAAAGCGCTCTTGCGGGAATCGATAGCGGAAAAGTGCAAGTGCGTCACGTGATCTCGAGATATCAATCCATCTTATTATCCGGCCCGTCATCTTCTTATACAGGCCTCATGGACGTGAACCGGAGGCGATGGATGGCTACTGGAAAGTTAAATTTGCTGAGAAAACATATTCTTACACACGACGCCAACGTTCTTTCTACTTTATTACACCTTCTGGACCAGCGTGTGGTTCCCTCCAGAAACGCTCACGGGTCCGCTCCCGCTTTCCTTGCCATCTAGAGTCACATTTCCACTCCCAGGCAATACCACGGTTCCGTTCGTTCCTTCTGGAGTGGTCACAAGAACGGTGAGAGTTCCATTGTCGACGGACCATTTCACCCCAAACCAGCCAAGGCTAGTCTCGTACCCTCCTTCGGCCGCATCTAACCCACTTAGAACGGGCGCAACACGCCATGTCGCGCCTTGAGGCGATGTTACTTGTAAGCCAACGACATAGAAGCTCAACGCTGGCGTTGGGCCTGTGCTCCAGCCATGAGAGTGGCTCGTGTAAGAGTAGTCGTAGTCGTAACCAGCAGCGGCCCGGTATCTGTAGCAGTGGGTGAAAATCATTGTGAGTAAAGCCTTTCCATCTGAAGCTCTACGTGGAGATGCATACCCAAGAGATCCGTTCGCTGTGAAACCTTCCAGGAACGTCGAGTGCACGCTGATGTTCGTGTATAGTATATAGCCCCACTCCCGGCGCAATAAGTCCAGCGCGCGACTCCCGTTACCGGCAATGAAATGGGCTTGCAGCTTATGAGAAAGAGCGCTACCGATTAATTGAGCTTTTCGTGAGAGCTCGGAGAGTACGCACCTCCAAACCGCCGATGAAAGGGATAATAGTATCAGCGAGCTCTGGACACAGAGGACCAATGTCAGTCCAGTAATTGGTCAATCCCACACTGATTTGCTGGTTTTGTTCTGGCGTTTGCGTCAGGTTATACACTACAGCAAGGGAATTACCATCCTCTGGGTACATTGTCGTCGTTTCGTTGTCACGATACATTCCTGCCGCGGCATCCCAAAGCATACTATTGTAAGCTGTCTTGACTATTGTGGCGTTGGCAGCGTATGCTTCTGCCAGCGAGGTGTCGCCTAGGTGCGTTGCAAGATCTGCAGCAGTGGTAAGTGTCTAGATGACCAATTTGTCATTGACGTTGTTGCGAATATGATAAAGCACGCAAACCTGATACAGTAAAGCATTTGCAGCCGAGTTGTGGCCTGTACCGCCAACCCTTCCCCAATCATTTGACCAAGCAGCAGTGACGTTCATCAAACCGGTATCATCCACCTGAGCCTCGAGGAAAGCCACTGCCTTTGTGTAGTTTGCCCATAAGTCCTGCACGGTGCTCAAGTCACCAGAGTACAGGTAATAGTTATAGAGGCCTATCAACGACCAAGATATATATGTGTCGCTACCCTGGCCATTGATAGGAGGCCCAGAGTAGTTGAAAGCTCCAGTGGTGACATTTTGGGTGGAGAACATGACACGGACAGAGTTCTGGACTGGAAGCAAGTCATTAACGGAGACTTGACGAGTGTGGCTTGATATGCCCATATCCCCTACAAGGTCTCAGTCAACATAAATTCAACAGAGCAGCGAAGGTTTTATTTACCTGGCCAAACGTTCCTGTGAGGTTATGGCTTGATTAGATACGCAGAACGATTCCAGAAATCAAGATGTACCTGTCTCTTTTGGCACCGTCAACCAAGATGGGACCAGTAACCGGGCCGCCAGTCGCATTGTTGGCCCATCCTGTCTTTTTGTCAAATTCCGCGATATACGAGATTTAAAAATGACGCACCAGGAAGAAGTCCTCCATTCTGTCTTCCTGTATTCACGTCGATGACATTTGTTTGCACAGTATATGCACCTCCATACCAAATTTTGGTAATGAAGTCGGAATCATGGAAATTGTTGTCTTTTGCATAGAAATAACCTGTGTAGTCACGAAGAGCGTCACCTGCAAATGGTTCAAAAGTTATATTGAGAACGACGTTGGCAATTGACAATGCATCATCCGCGTTGGACACAATGGTGAGGTAACGGAAACCTCCACGAAGGAGTCCAGGCGGCTGAGTGAACGTTCCAAGTGATAGTGGTGCCGCCACAGATTCAACTCCGTCAGAGTTTTCTGTGGAAAGGGTGCGAGAAGAGTCATCGGACTCCGTAGGGCTTATGAACAAGGGAGATTCAGTGAAAGACAGGGAAAAGGCCGATGATGTGGTAGCGTTCACAACATCTAAAGAGATTAGCCCTCCGACCTAACAAGAAGATTAGTCTAACAAGATAGGATTGAAGATCAAGATCAAACCTCTTGTCCAAAATCCAGCACGACATACGAGCCATTCCCTGATAAAGTTGCGCTCGCATTGGTTGAATTCTGGACCAAAGACTGTGCATCTGTGACAGTGCCATTTATTTCATGCACGTAAGCTGGCCGCACGGACCGGGAGGAAGGCGCATAGTTGAACTCATCCCAAGGGCCAGGAGGTGCAAGAGCAGTGCACAGTGGAGAGAACAAGGTTGCAGCAATATACAATGCAAAGGCGGAGTACATGATATTGAGTAAAACTTCGAAAACAACATCCTGGGGACATTTTAAGAGCTAAGGAACAATTGCAATCTGCACATTCTGAACGGGTACTAAGGCCCGCTGGAATAAAGTTGAGGATCATTCTCCCGTTTAAGTCAGTCATGAGACTGGAGAAGACAAGAAGGTTAGACACACTTCATAATTCTGAGCGAAAGACCCGTAGTGCAGGACTAACCTCATCCAATAGAAATAGCTTTTGTATGGGTAGGATGACATCTTCCAATACCCCCAGCATGATGCAAGCCGTCATGTGGGCTGGTCACTGGATGCACCACCGGCCTCTTTGAAGTTGTTATTGTAAGAAAAGCTCTACAAGAATTATTGTTGCACAAAAGGCTGTTCTAATAAGAACGACCTTGAGCCATGGCCACAGAGTTTCAGTTCTGAGATGAGAGGACTCGGAATGGCAGGCATCATTCGGTTCCGAATATCGATGGATTCAGACGCGTTTATAAGATTGTATTGTGCTGATCATGAGCTCGAGAAGCTTGAATCAACGTGATTCACTGTCAGTGAAAAGTCAGCTCGAATTCTGGATACGTATCGTGGATACCCACAGACATTTGGAAAGTAGCTTTTGGGTCAAGTCCGTGACCACTACGCGTGTGAATTACAATCTTACACTCAGACCATTACTGCTACAGGTAACTTGGCTCACTGGCGCTCACTCCTAGGAGACAATTTCTTTGTATAGGCGCGCGATGGATTAATCAAAATAATATTCACTCACCTTTGCTCACTGGCACCAGCGCTCATTGGCACTGATGGGAAATGCGGCCTTGTACTTAACTACCACCTCCACGGTCCATTTGACTCCCAACAAATACTGTAGGACTGGATTTACGGACCCCTAGAAGCAATAAAGATATCACGTTGTTTGAACACTGCCATCGACGAGTTTCTACAATCCGAGGATGGTCATTGCACCCGGCTGCTTCGCGCGTTCAGTTTGCGTCGAGGGCTGAGGGAATTAGAGTCACGACTTCAAATATAATACAAGGCCAACAGATATACGCTAGAGACGGCCTGTCAATGCTGTACAGCGCAGACTTGTCTCTACATACGATTAAAAAATGCCAGGAAGCCGGTCTTCCACGATCAGAGCAAGTGAAATTTTTCGCCCGTTATAATTTGTGAGTTGCTTGCGTTCATTATCTGTCGTTCGTTACGAATCCTGGCATAGATACCAGAGGCAGCAAAGAGAGTTTGTTGAACAGAAACCTTATTTCCAAGCCTATCGTCCAGCTGCGAAAGTTATCTACTGCCATTTCCAGAACTGTCGCCGTCTATACGAAAACATAATGGTACATATGCTATCTCGAAAAGACTGTAAGAAGGCTAGAACATCTAAAGGTCGACTGGAAGAAACTCAATATATTCTAAATTTCATTATACCTACGCTCGTTAAATATAAAGAAGCTCAAATGGGTCTTCCGCAATCAGAGGGACGCAAGTGTCTCGAACGTTTCGACCAGTGAATGCTCTCTCGATTTGATCTAGCATCCCTTAGAATAATTATGATTCCTGGTGCAGATTTAAAAAGGACCAAAAACGGCTCTCAACAGAGACACGCCTTGTCGACAACTGTCGTTCGGTTACAGAGAATATCGTGCGTCACCTCGAAAATTATCGAGATCTATACCAAAGCATACAAGTATGTATGCTCTTCTAAGGAAAACAAGGAGACTAATAGATCTCAATAGATTCCTGCTGCGACACCTACGGCGAAACCATCCCTAGGCTCTCCTGATGGTTCGGGTTCGTATATTATCTCATGTCGGGTTAGGCAGCTCAGTTCATCAATCACTCGTTCACTCTAGTGCCGCAATCCACCACGAAAAATGTCCCTCCCACGCCTTCACGAAATCAGACTCGCAGCTCTTCCTCCATCACGAGCAGCAAGCCCACAAGCCCTGCTCCATATAGCCCCCCGAAGGCTAACGTTGCATTAGGCAACAGTTCAAACCCTCGCTTGTCCTCAGGAGGACAACAGTTCTCTACCATGAATCAAAAGGGTGGGACCATAGCTCGTTTATAGCATTTGCATTGCTGACTACCGTCATGTAGGACGGAACTTACCTCTGAACAACCCACATGCAAATTCACCTTCCGTAACGCCTGCCTGTAGTCAACGTGCTGGATCACACGCATCTCCAACAGGAAGCGAAGCGTCACCACACGCTGGCACATCCCCTGGAGTATCAGCATAGGACATTATCATGTCAAATAAACCACCTACCTTGAATTCTTACACTAAGGATGGAATCACTTGTAACGTCAGGACATATACGCAGGCTGTTATCTCAATGGGATCTCTGATGGAGATGCCAACCGTTCACGTTGGAGGCCATCATAATACCGGTGCAGGTAAGCTAGTAACAATTATGTCTCGTTTTCAGAGCTCATGTCCATATACAGTTAAACAATATAATCTCAATGCTCAATAGGCCAATGTTGTCATTGCAGAATATTTCTATTCATACTGCCACTAGCTTGTATGAAGCAGTGGTGTGCCAAACCTCAGCTCTATAAACTTACAAGTCATGATCAATACTTCTATCTCTTATCACTGCGTCATAATTGCGAGCGACATGTATTCTATCTTGTACCATTCTGTATTCTAAATCATCCTTTATTTTTTCCGTCATGGCAAGTCAACAATGGATTCGGGTTCGAAACCACAGAGACTGAGACATGGCATGGCTTGAAGATGAGTCGGACGCGGGTTAGATTATGATTATGGAATTTATATCATTGTTGTCATCGTGGCCTCTGCTTCGACTAATGTCTAGTGGTTACACGCCCCAAAAACGTTCACTCGGAATAGAAACTCAACTTGCTCCGAGTCAGTCCCACGGAAAAAGGCAACACCATTTGAAGCACATCGGCTCGGTTGCTCGTAAAATGTTGGGCCCGCCATGGATTGTCTCCCAGTCGAACGACGCACTGCGCAAAGTGCTTCAGGCAGTAGAAATCGAGCCGTGTTTTGTGGACCAAGCTGGACTGGATTCTTGGGGCTAGCGAGGATGGGAAGATGGCCATGTTATGACTCACCATAGTGTTACTAGTGCTACTAATACTTGCTGGGGCTTTCCAAGCTTGATAACGATTGAACCAAGGATAGTCAAGTGCACATTCTTTCCAGGACTAATCGATTTTTGTAACTGCCTTTTAACACTCAGCGGCCAAGGTCACGTAAAGTGGGGCACCGCTTCTTACTAAAGGCTGCTGCCCAACCAGGGCACAGTCCAGCGTGCAACGTTCGTATTGGTTCTGGCGCTTGTCTTGTCTTTCCTCTTTCTGTCTCCTGGGATGGTCTTCTATTACTAGCTTAGCCATGTTGGTATATCTAACTTGGACAGCCAATCAAGCATTAATGGCTGCCCAGCCAACATCGACGATATCATACCTCCTTACAACCCGAATTACCACCCATGAGTCTCAAACAATCAAATCAACCCCGATGGGAGGACTTGCCCCGTCTTTGCAAGTGTGCAACGGGCGATGATGTCGAACTCTGGCTGGACCAGCTTGTAGGAGACTTGAAACGTGCAGGTATCTCTTGTGAATATTGGTCGAATATTGCCATCCAACTATTGGATGAGGATCTCAGGGTACCGGTGCGGGATAAGCTCGAAACGATAGAGAAAGGTGGTTGGAGCTGGGAAACCTTCAGCCGATATGTGAGACGTATGTGCTCACTTCAATGTCTTTATCTCGACTATAACTCTACTTTTGCATCTACAGAAGAAGTCAATGTACACTGCAGTGAGCGCGGTTTACATGGTCTGTGATTGTCCGTATGTACTGAAGAGGTAATGTAGAACCGACAATGTTTCAGAATTTCTGTAGCAATCATCCGGCGCTTACTATGGTTGCCGGTGCAAGTCTTGTATCAGTAGGATGTGCGCTTGCTCTCCCAGCAATGGCAGGTGTAGTGGGCCTGGGTGCAGTGGGTTCAGCTGGAGGTTCGTCCACAACTGCACTTGCTTCTTGTATTGCGGTTGTCTAAAATTCCTTGTTCATGATCACAGTTGTACTTTCTGGAATGCAATCACTTGCGGGCGTAGTAGCAGTGACAAGTGGGACAGCAATGGTCAAGAAAACAGTCGACGGGTTGGAGGATAAGTAGGCTTCCAGACAACTTTATTCTGACATCTCAGTGGTGCGCTTGTCTGCCTTTTATCCCTGAACCACCATTCTTTGTTATCCCTTTCCATATTGTAACCTTGTAGCTGAAGGACAACTATACCAACTGTAACGTTGAAATACTATCCAATCCTATAACGACTTGATTCATGGTTCATGCATTAGTCAGCTGTGCCCCTCGCTTTCATGAACCCATTTAGTCGATAAGGTGAATGTTTTGTCCTGTAAAAGTCTGTGGAATGTGCTGAAAAGGTGACAGATATTTCGTTACGTATCAGACGAGTCTCAAGGCGCTCGAGAAGGTTTGATCAAACTGAGCGGGTTTCGACGTCCTTGTAAAGTAAAAGGGCTGCTTTGCAAATATACGGCAGTGTTCGGATCCAACCAAGTCGCCTTGTGGGAACTGCTGCAACTTGCTCTAGTACAAGTCACAAAGCATCTCAATTCTACACTTTTCTGCGCATGTTTGATCTAAAGAACATTTTGAGGAGGCTGCAGTCGTGGAAACACGAGCCGGCGTTTGCTCAAATCACAGATCCTGATAAATGGGTGTATAAGCTTGCGCCTTTAGGAAAGGCAGCGGAAGGCGAGCTTCTCATCTCAACCGTGATTCAGAGATTACCCTGATGGATATTCTTAGGTTTCCAGGCCCCTACATCCAGTGAGATGGGGACGCTCAGCGAACATTACAGTTGCATGTATAAGATTGCCCCGCTTGAAGCGATGAAAAGTGAGCTTCCCATTCTAAACACAATAAATTTTTTATTTCACGATCTTATCAGGATGTCCTCAGGCTTCCAGGTCCTTACATTCAGTGAGATTGGGACGTTCAACAAGCAGTTCATCCCACTACTAGGAGAAGTGATGAAAGGTGAAATTCCATTGCAATCACGATATATTTAATTTGACGACTTTGTCTAAATACCCTCAGATATATGGGTCCCCCAGCTTTGCTATTTGAAAAAATTCCACGAGGAACGTTCGGCCTCCATGCGCTATCTTGGTATTGTTCTTATAGTAGTTGGTGTTGTACTTGTTCTCCGCAAGGTTGGTTCAGTGGCTGCAAGGGCAGCTGGTTTCAGTCACATTGGGCCTGTTGCAGGTTAGTTTATATTTCATGCCTGCTCATTGGTTCTAACAAAGGAATAGGCTCAATGGCGGCTAGGTTTCAGTCCTCTGTATATGGTGCCACTACAGGCGGGATTTTCTCTGCCATACAATCGTTTGCAATGACGGCTGTCTCAGATGCCGTCCCTGTCATTGTCGGCGGATGTATGATTGCTGCAGGCACGATACTTTTTAGAAAAAGTTGTTGAATATGTCAGCTAGTTTCTGATATTCACTTGTTCACTCGCATCGTGTCGCTGAACGCATGGATTCGAATCCTATTATTGGTGTGGGAAAGAAGCAGCTTGGTGCGAGACATCGTATCCATGTATACACGAGTATGGAACTCACGATGGCTTTCTAACTATATCGTATAGTGCCTGAAACGTGCCTAACATTTCTCAATGTTTCTTGATGCCTCTTCCTACAGCAGTCGCAAAAACGTTAGAGTCGTTGGATATCAAACCCTCTGTATACCCTAGACATTTCTGCGATGACGATATCATCGCACGTTGGCTGCATGAGGTCGTAGCAGCCTTTGAGAACGCGGGTATTTCTCATTGTTGGTGGCCCGATGCTGCCATACATCTCCTGCCAGAAGGGCAACTCAGAAGAGTAATGGAAGGCATACGGAGCGCCAGGACTGATGGTAAAAACTGGAATTGGGAGAACTTTAAAGGAGATATGAAACGTGCGGTTATCAGCACACTGATATCAGATGATCTTTCCTAACGTATTCGTTCATGCTGTAGGTGAAGCGAAGAAAAGTAAGCTCATATCTCCGCTATTGGATCATGCGTGTAACGATTGAATTCCGTTGTAGTCGCGCATGCCTCCATATTTACGCGCTTCTGCGATAACCATCCCATGCTGGCGTTGACAGCTGGAGTCAGCCTCGCGACAGCAGGGCATGCGATAGCAAACATGGGGAGATTCGGTAGCGCTAGCCCTATTGCAGGTTCGCTAGTCTCTTTGCCTCTGTATCTCATAGATGGTCAGCCTTTATGTCCGCGCAGCTGCTCTACAGTCGTCGATGTACGGGACATATGCGTATCCATGGCTTCCTGGAGCGAAAGGCCTTGCAATGACAGCCGTACCAACTGCAGCACCTGCCTTCACAAGAGGCGTGCCAGGCGTTGGCGGTGGGGTTACATTTGTGGCGAAAGCAGTTAGCCAGTATGCGAGCAGAGCAAGGAGCAAACTGTAAATGTAAGGGGAGTTTGAAACAGAGTGGAGGACTGCTTACCCTTCTGTGTTATAACTGGTGGGTCTTCATGTATGTCTTTCTCCGTGTAAACCATTGTACTTGTGATAAGGATCACTTTCGAAACGATTGTCATTGGTCTCGTAGACAAGTGGATTCGGATATGTTGTCGAGTTATGCTGACCTAAACTTACTTTGCAAGTGATCATGTGGAAGCTTATAATCAGATAAGACTTGTATAGTAAATCGTTTCATTTTTCTTGTGCAAATGGGAAATGAAACAACAACGATACAGCAGTGTTCATGGTAAACAGGTTGGAAAACACTGGCAGCAGTCAACATGAATTTGGCGGACACTCGGACCAGAACGCAATAGTTGCACAGCCACATGTGGGCGGCAATTACATAATATTTGGATGATCAAAATTCCGAGTCTTAGAATGCAACTCAGTATCAGTACTCAGTCACGGTACTAGCAGGGCGACCCCCACATCATGCTTTCCTACACAATTCTGAGATGGGCGTTAAACTATGTGAGCTGCTGTTTTTGCTGAAATCCCTTGAACGTGATCAGTTCGAGTGAAACTCATTAGGGTCATAGATGTAGATAACTGCAAGAGGTTGACATCTTGAAATCGATGTGAAGCAGTACCGCATTTTGGTTGGGGTGAGGCTCTGCTGAGACATCTTAGCGGCGTATGTTGCTGTAGCTTAATGTGCAGTTCATCTTGACTGCCGTTGTATTCCTGGTACCGTAGGTTACCAGGTCTCAGAACCAGCTATTGACACTACTTTTGGCCCCGGTGAGTCGTACCGACCATCCGCACTTGGCACGTGAGCGCCATCTCTTTTCACCGAACTGCCACAGACATAGTACCACAGACACACATCTTTTTGTGCAGGAACAGTATGTGCTTCTCAACACCCCATACTTCCCTTGCTTCCAATTAACACCAATGAACTTGAATGAAAATGAGTTGTCTCGAGAACACATAACCAATGCAATCAATGTAACAACCAAGAGTTTGTTACTCCGGCGCACAACTCAGACAAGCTATAGAGATAATGATGAGGGAGTGGTTACCCTTAAGCTTCAACAAGTTAGTTGTGAGGATACAACAGGAGGACTCGCTGAGGAGTCTCCTTGATCTATTGGGGTATATATACTACTACAGGTTTGTTTGTACATATGTACTATAGAGTTGATTAAGGCAGTGGCTGATGATGTCAAGGGCACAGCCCGTGTGACCAGCTCCTGCGTGAGATACTTGTAGCTAAAATAAGAAGGAAAGTAGTGCAGTGCGAGAAGGTAGAGTTTGAACAAAATGGAAAGTGCCGCATGGCACAATGTGTGAAAACTACAGTATAAAGTTAAAGAGGAGAATGAAATTCAAAGGTCCGAAAATTGTGTATCGTAACAATCAAACCATTTGTCTTGCAGTGCCCCTTTGACGATTCGAGTGTCATGTTGCATTTTGAAGAAGGGTGTTGGCAAGGTCCTGTAGAAATCCTTGGTCGGTTTTTTGATCGAACCAATGACAATAACCATGCCTACTTTGAGCTGTATGGTGTACATTACTTCAAAACTTGTAATTTAAATATCATCATTATTCCAAATGTCTCGCACCTCAAGCTTTCGTACCACATTCTTACCATATAATATAAACAAATGATGGTATAATTTTTGCCACGGGGCCAGGAGTGCCCGGAGGGCAATGTTATTGGAAATACAAACAGAACTATCAGGCTGTAATCCAAGAGTTGCACAATATCTTGGTTATCATCTTCCCAGTTCTCATTCGGAGGGGCCATGAAGCTACCCAATAAATGGCTTTATAGCTTTGTAACAAAGTCGCTTGTAGATGCTGGTGAAAAGTAGCCCTGAACTCCAACTTGTCTGACCATGTTTTTGCGGACCGTAATATTGGACCCCCTAGGTATGTGAGGAAGTTCCCTACCTGTACTAGAATATTTCCAGCAGTACAGGAATATGCATCATTTGACTCAAGCTACATTCAAGGGCCTCGTGAATGTACATACGCCCAGCGGATCATCAATAATCCTCTTGGTCGCCGGCCCTGCTTGCTGTGCCCACATAATTGCATCATGTTGAGCATCTCTACATCATTAGCCTATCAGAAAAGTACGTCTTAGTGGGGCGCCGAGTCAGAGAGAAATATCACTTTTTTGGGCACCTTGAAATTTTCAATCTGTTATCAATTAGACAGCATCTTCAACACTTCAATGTCTTATAAGGCCTATATCATGGTGAGAGACTCCTTTGTACCCTTTACTCTCTGATGATTGAGGTTTCTGGACATGAGTCACTTCGTTCACAATTCAGTTCCACCACTCTTGATTGGGAACTTCATAGCAACCTATCTCTGTGGTGTACTCACTCTCCAGGTGTGCAATTACTATCAGCGCTATCACAAGGACCGCGTCTGGTTTAAAGTTTTTGTGGGTGGTATTATATGTCAAATTACCATCTTCTAATGTTTCTGTTGTTACACCATCTCAAGGTTGCTTTCATATGGTGCGTTTTGGTGAAGCAGGCTGTATACACTATCAGTGACTGGACATAGGCTTCAAGGGACGGGATTTGCTGTTTCAGTTTTCTACACCATCTACGTATTAACTATCACTCAATTTGGTTGGCAATTGGCTGATGATATGATCTGGATACCCCCTTTGTTGGGGTGCTCTATCCTGTTCAGTAATATTTTGACATCGTCTGTTCAGGTAACATTTTATGGCGATCCTTGTTACCTCTATTTGAGATCATTTTACTGATATATAATAATATAGGCTTTCTTTTTGTACTGCATATACATATTGTCTTGAAAGCTTTATATCCCTATTTAATGTTGGGTCATATTGTCCTTATGGCTATCTGGGGATTTGTTTATTGCAGCAGAATTATTCAAGGGGAAGGATAATAGCTACCAATGGTAGTGGTTGATCACAAGTTCACTCAACATTGGATTCTTGGTTGACATAATCATTGCTGCCAGTCAAATGTACTGCTTGCGCCAGGCAAGAGCCTTGGCAATGAATGAGTAAGTGTAGGAATCAAGCTTCACTGAAGTGATCTGATATATCTGTTTTCTTAGTATCATCGTAGTATTGGATCAGTTGTTGGTCTGGACATTAGGTATGTTTTTATGTGCAATTGGGTATTTTCGTTGCCTGATTAATTCACTGTACAGAGATTGGTCTCATGACAAGGTGATAAATACCCATTTCTGTTGATACTGTGGCTAAGAAAAATGGACGATCTTCAAGTTTCCTCCATCTAACCGCCCTAATCCTCTTCAAGGCTATGCGAGAAAGTTGTGAGTCTAGCCTACCAACATCAAAACATGCCTACATAACATCTGAGTCCTCAGATATATGGCTTGCTTTTTATGCAGTCAAAGGCGAAGGCAGGTTGTTTTCATCAAAGTGAGCTCTTTGTCGGAATTTGCTAACAGACAGACGTGGGCAATGGTTAGTTGTTGCTAATGCTGTGATGGCATTGTAAGTAATTGTTCATCATATGGTCCACAAATCCTCTGACTCAATATCTATGTAGTTTGAATACTCGCAAGGCTCCTCAAGAGAAACATCATGAAAGGAGGGAGACTGCTGTTAATCCGCTTGGAAGTATACGTGTGGCTAATCTCAGCATTACCGGGGTAGGTCTTGTCAAGTCTGCCACTATATTGTTACCTTACCATGTAATTTGGAAGTGTTGTACCGCATAAATAGGCTAAAGCAGAGGTTTTACGGAAGACATCCCTATCCCTAGCCTTGTGAGTTGGTGTTAAAAGATAGACAAGCTGTACCGCTGATTTCTTGACTGTGCAATGATGGGAGTTTTGTTGCAGCAAATGCAGACTACTAGGGGTGCATTTGGACCCATCAAAGACTCATCATTATACATCAGTTGAGATACCCACTATGAATTGCAGGAAATACAATCTTAGAGGGGTTCAGAGTTGTTAGATTTAGATAGATATTTATTTTATTCCACTGCATTGCGAGCTTATTTTATTCATCACACTGAACAAAACTCCCAAATTGAGTGAGGTTGGTGTCCAAGGGATGTTCAATTGTGAAAAAATTGAAACTACTAGGCAATGCTGTGGGTATATTTGTTTGCAGGTTAAACAAAATTAGGGCTGGAGAACTTTAGATACAAGGGCTAAATTGAGTACAAGGACTAGAATATATGCGAAGTAAATAAATTATATGAACTTGTTGGTGTGTGCAAATGAAACAAAAATGAGGATGAAGAAAAGTACATGCAGAGAGCTGAATTAGATGCAAAGGCTGGAATAAGTGCGAAGCAAATAATTCCATGGACATGTTTTTGCGTGGTGAGGAAACAAATAAGAGGGCGGGCGAATGACCAAAGGTTAAATTTGGATGCAAAAATCAGATTGAGTACGAAGGCTAAACTGTGTGTGCGATGATGGGGTAATTGTGGTCATCATTGCAAATCCTGTGTGCCAGCCAATGGTGGAAAGCCTCCTTGGTGCAAATGAATCCTGAGGCTTCATTCCAGTACCCAGCGCTAAAGGCCACGGAGAAACCAATCTTGGCAACAACCTTCTCAGCAAAAGCACAAAGAGACACGTCCTCTGGCAGCTTGAGCTTTCATATGTCATCCGTGGACAGAACCATGACCTTGACAATGATTTGGCTGTCCTTGGGCGCCCACTTGGAGGTTCTGGTAACCTCGTAGGTGGGGGGACTTTCGTCACCAAATTCTATATTGGCGCTGGTGACTGGAAGGTTGGTGATATATCTGAGGAAATGTGCTGTGGAGTTGATGAGAATTGCCCCTGCGCAACGATGGCTACGTTTGAAAATGTCATCCTGCATGCGGGCCGTCTCTTGAATTACCTCTTCCGCTCTTTCTTGGATGGAGTCCAAGATAGGACAGGGAGAGGGGTGCGGACGGAATGTGCTGATTTCCATGTAGCAGAGAATGTTGAGGGGACGTTGACAAGGAGTGTGATGAGTAACAGGTGGGTGCTCTGGAGGAGAACTGGGTAGTTGCTGCATGTGTGTGCAGTGCCCAGGGATGTCCAGGAAATCCCCAGGATGGGATGTAGTCCCAACTATGGCGCTTGTAAAGTTATAGGTGGCAACATCAGCGGTGTCATTGGGGTGATCCCCAGATACCTCAATGACAGCAATATCGGGAATATTTGGATTATTATTTATGGGGATATTATCAGTCGAGCTGGTACTATACACAGATACATCATCAGGCTCCTTGCTTTCAAGGACAATGGATAGCCGAGGATGTGGGATATCTGGACAGACCTGGATGGTTAAGTTAGAAACAAATGGGAAAGCTGGAAATACGGGATGCAAACTCCGTTGTTCTTTGGGATGTCTAATCCAAGATCTTGCACAATGTGGATAGAACCACGGGATAAGGGTCAATCGCCCTGGAGGTTTGACATCATATTGGAGGAGCAAGGGAAAACAGGATTGATGTAGCAAAGGGAACCAGGTTTGCAAACCAAGGATCTACAGAGATGTTCGTCGAGTAAAGTAGCTGGGGCCTTGTGGGAGTAGCCGGTGTTTGAAGGAGGGTAGGAGTGTCGGAAGACCTTGAGGAGATACTTGCTGTCTTGCTGTTGACCAGGGCAGGAAGGATAAGGGGTTGTAAAGATGGCTTGGATTCAGCTTTGCGCCGACGAGCGTGATAGATATATCCAGCAATCAAGAAGCCAAAGACAACAGCCATGACACAAGGAGCCAAGTAGATATGAAGCATATTTGAGCCAGAAGACGGCTGAGGTTGCGCGGTTGAGGTAGCAGAGAGAATCATAGAAGTGGATATTGGTGCCATTGCTAATGTTGAAGATTAGGTATTAAGGGACAAGATGATAGGATTTATGAAAGTCCTTGCAGAAGAGGCTGACTGAATTTTTGTCCATAAACTGAGACACATTTTATTGTAGTTCAGACTGAGAAACAGAGCCAGCCGCTTATCAGCCTTTCAAAAAGGCTATTTGAGCCATCCAATAATTGAGGAATGAATGTCAGCCATTTAGATTGAGACCGCCAAAATGGAAAGTTCTGAACAGTTGCTAAATTGGCGTATCAGGCATCTTTTGGCGCAGTGCAATGACATCTCCTGTACTTGCAGTCGAGGAACAGACAAAATAGATTATGGATGAGCTGAAGAAAGTGCCTGGAATGATAAATGCAAGACTTGAGAAGTGCAGATACCCTACATAGTCATCAAGCACTGAAATGCGGTCTGCATGATGTGTAGCAACTTTCCTTTCGAACAAGCGGTGTGCCTTCAGTGTGACTTCTCCTACGAGTCTCCTCCACAGGTGTGCAGAGATGGAGCTCGAGGGTCGAGAGGATATTTTGACGGGGTTTTCTGCTGAAACATAAGGGAGACGGTGAGAGTTGTGGATGAGTTGTTCTTTTTTGGAGTTCAAAATTACTGGGCTGCTCTTTGCATTCAATTCACAGAATCACTACAGGGGTGGTCAATACTCGCATGATTCCTTGTCCTACTGCTCAGTGCTTGTTGATTTTTGCAACATATGAAGAAGTACTAGCTCATCTCAATGATCCCTATCAAACTTGCATCGCGGTCATGGAGGAGAGTCGGGAACAAATGCAGGTAGAAAGCGATGAAGAGGGGCACCAACAGACCCCGCAGACACCTCCCCATGGACCAGTGTTCCAGTATCACCCTAACTCTGGTTATGAATATGGAAGAGGACCAAACCTGTTTCAACAAATGGATTCTGATGAAGATCGTTTTGCAAGATCGAAGAATACAGCATTTCTGGCCTTTTTCTTCGAGAGAGGAATGGGAGCTTGCTGAATTTCTGAATGAAAATCTCAATCAGACGCAGTTGGATGCCTTCCTAAAACTGAAATGGGTATTGCAATGCTTTGTTACCTATTACATATATTTATCATGTTTGCAGACATGTAAACAAACATTGCTGTTCAGTTCTGCACACCAACTATCAAGCTTTATGGACTTTCTGCCCAGCGGCCCAAAGTGGAAAATGCAGACTCTTGTCGTTGTTGGCTATCTTACTATGGCACCGATCAGGCTGTTCTTTAGAGATGGCCTGGAGGTGGCAAATAGTATCTTTTCAAATCCTATTTTTGCTAACCAGGCCCTGGAGGAACATTGTGTATATAGTGAATTCATGACTGCAGACTACGCTTGGGAACTTCAGGTAGGTGATATCTTCAGGACTGGTTGCTTTATATATATATATATATATTGAAGAGTGTGTAGGATCAGTATCCGGTAGGCGCTACTGTGATGGGGATTATAGCGGGTTCAGACAAGACGGCCGCAACCAGAAGAACAGCTGGAATGCAGATGCACCCAATATTCCTTAGTCTCGCCAACATCAACTCTGAGGTGCACATGAAGGCAACTTCCCATGCATGGATGTGTACAGCATTCATGCCCATTGTGACCTTCAACAATGTTCACCCAGAGTTCCATGCTGTTCTTGATGCACAGCTTTGGCACCGTTGCATGGACATGGTCATAAGCGTGTGGCAAAATGTGGGCAGATTATGTCAGACCCTCATGGTATCTTGAGGGTTACACTTACGCCTCTGGTTGCTTGGGTAGCAGACCTTCCTGAACAACAAATGATAGCTTGCACCTCAAAAAGTGTCTCTCCCATTTCCCTCGCTACAGTTGATGATTTCGGCGACTTTCCACATCCTCCCCACACTGGCCGCCATACTGTCAGTCTGTACAAACAACTCCATGAAAGGATTGATCCTTGGGATCTTGCTGTATATCTCCCTGCAGCTAAGGATGTGGGTCTCAGTGGCACAAATTCACCATTTTGGTATGACTGGCATCTTGCTGATCCTGCAAAATTCTTGGTGCCAGAAAATTTCCATACTGGCCATAAATTCTTCTTTGATCACCCGCTGGTTTGGTGCCAAGAAGTGGTTGGAAAGGAGGAACTGGATGCCTGATACATGAGTATGCACTCACATGTTGGTGTCCAACATTTTAGGAATGGAATCTCCCATATGAAGCAGATGACAGGTCAAGAACATCAGGAAATTTAGTGTACCAGTGTGTGTGCGCTATAGCTGGGTCCTGTCCTGCTGGGTTTGTTCGTGCCGTTCATGCCATTGTAGATTTCCTTTATCAGGCACAGGCTCCTGTTCATATGAAGGAGTCTATCAAGGGCATGGTTGAAGCATTGAAGGAGTTTCATACGGAGAAACAGGCGCTTCTTGACACAGAGGCATGACAAGGAGTCCGCAATGTCATAGAACATATCAAAGCTCCCAAGCTAGAAATTCTTCAGCACTTTGCAGAGTCAATCAAGCAAATGGGGACTCTGAGCCAGTACTCTGCAGACATTATTGGGTGGCTTCTGATAACGCACTGCAAACATGACATTACCCATACAAACCATCAAAACCTTGAAGATCAAAGTGTCCTCTCGTTGCATTTTCAGGAGACATCTTGCTTGTTAAATTGTTGCTCTATTCTACGAGACTCAAAGGCGTCACTTATCAACAATATTGTGGCAGAGGAGGATGCTATAATTGCAAAGGTTGATCCTGCAGCTGTGTGGCTGAGCCGTATATCACCAGGAAAGCAGAAGATGAAAGGACATCGTCCTATCACAAATCATTTTCTCAAAGGCTTACGCTCTGAAGACCTGTTGGTTGCTTTCCATTGGAACAAGAGTCCAAACTATACGCTTTCCATTGCCAAAGCAGCCAATGTTTATGGTCTTGAAGGCCTACATTCTGCTATAGCTGATTATCAACTCCAGTTATCCTATTCCTCCCACCGCGGTCAGCGAATGTCTGACAATAATATTCCTCTCCAATTTGAATCCGTCTGAGTCTGGCATCAATTTAAGATCCAGCTATTCCCAGTTCATCATGCCAATGTTATCATGCCGGCTCAGACTGTCCACGCTCTCATCCCTAGCCTTACCATGCCATATGGCAAATGCAACACAGCGCTAGCAAAAGACTGGCAGGATAATCCCACCGCTGGAATTATCAGTTGTGCGAATCACTATCTATCTTGTAAAACCCTTATCCCCTTTACCGAACTAACGGAGGGATGAAGGCTCAAATCAAACAAGTAGCGTTACAAGATAGCGATTGAGAATTAATCAACAACTGAGGAAAGTATGTACATGATGGTCTACTATATATATGTTTCTGAAAGTCAGCCATGAGGCGCTGACTGATGTTCTTTGTAATGGTTCTAGACTCTTGTCACGTGATGGTCACGTGATCTGATATAACTACGTATTATGTTATCCGCGCTAAAGCAGCAGCTTAACATATCTTATCTGTCATGTGATCAGATATCAAAGAAAAAGAAAAAGAAAGAAAAAAGGAAACTAGCGCTCAGACTAGCGCTTCTGGTTCAAGTCGTGACATTACCCCCTCCTTAGGACTTTCGTCCCGAAAGTAGGGGTCCATCTTTCTGTTTTCCCAATTAAACAATTGTTTTCGGACTCTAGTCGTTGTGAAGTTTTCGAAGGGTTGGAATTGTAATTGGAATTGTATCCGTCGGGGTGCACTAGGGTTGTGGTCGTGGAATGTTTTGACTTTGTCTGGTGAGTTGTTTAGATGTTGTTCGGGTTCCCACGTGCGTTCCTCTTTTGGATAATTCTTCCAATGTACTAAATATTCTAATTTTCCCTTTTTTAGACGTGAGTCTAGAACTTCTTCGACTTCATATTCTTCTTGTCCGTCTACTATTACCGACGGTATCGGTTTAGGTTTCTGTTGGGAAGGGAACTGTGGTTCTTTGTACGGCGTGAGTTTTATCTCGTTGAAAACCGGATGAATAGGCCGCCATGTCGGTGGTAGCGCTAATCTATAGGCTGATTCACCTATTTTTTCCAGTATTTCAAACGGACCGTGTCTCTTATCGTCCAGTTTCTTGGCTGGTCGATCTGTTGAGATATTGGTCGCTTCTACGTACACCTTATCTCCTACTCTATATTCTACTGCTTCTCTTTTCTTCTTATTGTACTGCTTCTTCATCTGTTCAGCTGCCTTTTGCAGCGATTCTTCTGCTCTCTTCCTTGTTTCTGTCATTCTCTTTACGAAATCTTCTGCATTTTCGTTCTTTACCCCCACTTTCACTACTTCCTGTGTTCTCGGATGATGTCCATGATTCAGGTAGAACGGGCTGTATCCCGTCGCAGAATGTTGTTTGTTATTGTAAGAGAATTCTGCTAGGGTAAGCCATTCTGCCCAATCATCTTGTTTATGGTTTACGAAGATTCTGAGATACTGTTCTATCTCTTGATTGATCCTCTCCGTCTGTCCATCCGTTTGTGGATGCCAAGCCGTTGATGGGTTCGCTTTTATCCGAAGAAGCGTATGTAGATCTTTCATGAATTTTGAAACGAATTGCGGTCCCCGATCTGAGATGATCTTTTCGGGTATGCCGTGGTTTCTGAATACATGATCTCTAAATAGTCGTGCCACTCCTTCTGATGTGATCTCCATTTGTGTGGGAATTACCTTGATCATTTTGGTAAATCAATCTACTACTACCATTATCATGTTATATCCATTTGATTCTGGTAGCGGTCCGATCAGATCTACTGATATGATCTGCCAAGGTTTATCCGGGACCTCGTTTGGATGAAGCGGTGCTGCTTTCTTTTTATGGTCTGTCTTAGTCCTTTGGCAGACTTCGCATCCATCTACGTATCTCGTGATATCTCTGTCCATGTAAGGCCACCAGTATTGTCGAGTGATTAGCTCCTTGGTCTTATATCTTCCTGGATGGCCTGCAATAACAGAGTCGTGGTTTCGTCGGATAATCTCTTCCCTTAACGCAGCATCTTTCGGTACATAGATCCTGCCTTTGAATACTATGCAACTGTCTTCGTCTAACCAACCATCCTCTCTCCTCTCTATCTTTCCTTTCATCTTTTTTATCAGCTCATCTACATTTCCTTTTCTCTTTGTAATCCACTTTGAAATCTCCAATTCCTTCTCTTGACTGTCTGCAATCTTTTGTCTTTGTTCTGGAGAGAGAGTCATTCTTACAAATAGTTTCTCATCCAGTAGCACGACGTCTTCATTGTCGTTTTCTCCTTTGTTATGATCTGATCGCCTCGAGAGAAGATCTGCTTTTATATGCTTCCTTCCTGGCATATGATGTATCGTGAAATGATACTGGCTCAACTCCGTCATCCACCGCGCCTGTCTCCTGTTCAACTTCTTTGGTTCTTTGAAATACAGCAGATTTTGATGATCTGTCCATATCTCAAATTCCTCTTCTGCGTCTATTAAGTAATGTCTCCATTCATTAAGTGCCGTCATGATGGCAAGAAGTTCTTTGTCATAGATCTCGTAATTGCGTTCTGTGGGGTTTAACGCTTTGGAGAGGTATGCAATTGGCTTCCAGTCATCTTTTTGTCTTTGTGATAAGACAGCACCCATAGCGAAGTCACTACTGTCTGCTTCTACTTTGTATTGACCATGTGGTACTGGGAGAGCTAACACTGGGGCTGAAGCTACACGTTGTTTTAATGTGTTAAATGCTTCTTGTTGTTCATTTCCCCAAATGAAGTCCTCTTTTCCCGTTAACTTGGTCAATGGTTTGGCTACTTCCCCGAAGCCCTCTATGAATCTTCGATAGAAATTTACAAATCCCAAGAATGCCTGTATATCCTTTTTATTTTTGCATTCTGGCCATTTGCTAATTCCTTCTACTTTTACCGGATCCATGCGAATTTCGTTCTCTGAGATGATCAGTCCCAGGTATTCCACTTCTGTCTGTTCGAAATTGCATTTCTCTGGTTTAAGATAGAGATGATTCTTTCTTAGGATTTCTAACACACGTCGCGTCGTTGCTCGGTGCATTTCTATATCCTTTGTGAATATCATGATATCATCTAGATATATGATTACTAATCCTTCATCTATCAACTCTTTGAAAAGTGTGTTCATCATCATTTGGAACATGGCGGGGGAGTTTGTCAGTCCGAAGAACATGACTAATGGTTCGAATAATCCCCGATTTGTCCTGAATGCTGCTTTATGTTCATCTCCTTCTCTCATTCAGATATTGTTATATCCCCATCTTACATCCAATTTTGTGAAGTATTTTGCTCCACTCAATTTGTCTACTAGTTCCCCGATCAACGGAAGTGGATATCTATTTTTGATGGTGATATCATTTAGCTTCCTATAATCTTGAACTGGTCTCAACTTCCCGTCTTTCTTTTTAATGAAGAAGAATGGTGATGCGAACAGGGACTTCGATGGTCTTATCCGTCCCGATTCTAGATTCTCTTTTAGGAACGCATCTAGCTCTTCTTGCTCTCCTCTTGCCAATGGATAGATCTTGCAATCTAGGGAGTGATCTCCCGGTATTAGTTCGATTGCGTGATCCCATTGCCTTCTTTCAGGTAACGTGTCAAACTCCTTTTTATCAAATACGTCTTTGTATTGATGAAGGTGTTTTGGCACTATCTTTTCGAATCCTCCTTCTTTTCGATCTTTGCCTGCGGCTTCTGCTAGCTTCTGTGCCATCGTGCCTTGGGCTCTGATATGGTAATATTGATCGTTGATCGT